AAACTAACTACATGAATTTTTCACCTACTTTGCTCATCTTTTGGCTGGAAAGCAGGCACAGTGTGAGTGTAACTAACTATCCAGACTTAGGTTTTAGGGATATTCCTGGCAGCTGAGTTGGCCAGGGAACCTCACATGGATTAATACCAGGAACCAAATGTTTTTGAAGACCAGTACTTCCTGAAATAATCTGAGTTGTGGTAAACTCACATTGTCATTTTTAATGTTTTTATTACCTGTTATCTTATGTTTTTTCTCTATCTCATAGATCCTTCTGATTGTGATTACTCTATGTGCATGTTACATCCAGGTGAGTATCTTTGTAAATTTTCCACAAAAAACAAATCCTGTAACCATTTTCAGAGGAGTAGCCATGTGAGCTTGTTGTGGCAAAACAAACCAACTACATAGGTAACAGAACCCAAACATATAGTTCTTATATGTGTTGGAACCTGTATCCACTCATGACACACTGCAGCATCTCTCTGAAAACCAGTGCCAGTGCCTGTTATGGGAACACCTTGAAAAAAAAATCAATTGTAACCATTATTTAAATTTGCTTTCAATGTAACATTAACTCACTTGGTTGTAAGAGATAAAAAGGGGGAAATCTGGTACTTGTCATGGCATGTATACTGCCAAAAAAGCCCACTGTGGATGTTTTTAGGAATGATTCCACCACAGCAGGCATGTAGCCGGGGGGGGGGGGGGGGGGGCTTCAGCCCCCCCCCCCCCAAAATTCTCATGGTGGTTCGCGAAAAGGCCTTACTGGTGCATTATTTAAACTGTTATGTTTATTCATATCATGATCTGATCACCATACTCAATATATCCCATATGCATGGGGGTATTGGGGTAATGATACAAAAGGTTTGCTAGGCTAGACCCTCTTTCACTCAGACTCAGCCCCCCCCCCCGAAACTCAGCCCCCCCGAAACCCCCCTGAAAAAAATTCAGCCCCCCCCCCCCGAAACGAAATCCTGGCTACGGGCCTGCACCAGAGAACAATATTATGAGCCTGGACCTTGGTTATCTAAACGTTTCTCACAATGTTGTTATTGTCAGAGCCTAGAAAGCTTATGAGGGAGAGAACTGACAGCAGAAGGTTCTAATAACTCCAGCCAAAAAATGATATTTTCCCCTCTGTTCTTTTGACAATTATATCATGTGGGTACCAAGGCATTGAGACAGGGCAATGTAACAGAAGGAGGAATAATTCCCAGAGACTCTAGCTGGGGGTGGAAGTGAGAGTTGAAATCCCAAAAGGTAACTTTTCCAAGTCCAGATTATTGTAGCACATAAAACCCAGATGTTGAGAGCAAGATAGGACAATAGAAGCCGTTTATGCACAACTGAGATATATGGGCAGCAAGTTTGACTTGGAAATGCTGCTCTGCTTGAATCTTTGCTTGATATCCATCAGGTTGCTAGTCCACAGTGTCCTCTTAATGGAAATGCTGACATTGGCCACAATCTCCTGCTTCGTTAAAAAGTTGATGATGCTATCCATCTTTAGAAGACCACTTTTTTTTTGTCATGTCAGGAGCAACTTGAGAAACTGCAAGTTGCTTCTGGTGTGAGAGAATTGGCCGTCTGCAAGGATGTTGCCCAGGGGACGCCCAGATGATTTGATGGTTTTTATTATCCTTGTGGGAGGCTTCTCTCCTGTCCCCGCATGAGGAGCTGGAACTGATAGAGGGAGCTCATCCGCCTCTCCCCGGATTTGAACCTGCGACCTGTCGGTCTTCAGTCCTGCCGGCACAGGGGTTTAACCCACTGCGCCACCGGGGGCTCCTAAGATCACTAACACATTCAATCATAATTCCTTCTGCAAATGACCTGATGATGTTATATCATACTACTTTCTATCCACATGTGTAATGGGGTGTTGTAGGTTTTTCGGGCTGTATGGCTATGTTCTAGAAGCATTCTCTCACAACCTCTGAGGATGCCTGCCATAGATTCAAGTGAAACATCGGGAGAGAATGCTTCTAGAACATGGCCATACAGCCCAAAAAACCTACAACAACCCAGTGATTCCAGCCATAAAAACCTTCAACAATACATATGTGTAATGCTCCAGTATACCAGGAGCTATCTCCCTTAATTTGATCCTGTATGTGCAATTGGTAGATTTAGGGGGTTTGCATGCCCCACTTTAGTTGGTTTGGCTGGCATAAATCCTTTCAGCAGCTCCTAAAAGAATGTCAAAATACATACCCTCTTTTCCAGTTGGGAGGAATAGTTAACAGGCAAGGTTGTTGCACCTTTATAGTATATTTGGAAGAAGAAAACAAGAATTTTGGGGGTTCTACAAATTAGGTTTTCCCAGTTTCTCTCAGCTTGATTAACCTTCTCATTCCCACTGAAGGTCCATTTGGACAGATGCATATATGTCAATATATATATTTTAACATATATGAATGCTCTCCTCCCTACCTGTCAAGAATGGCAGCTCAAAGGCTTGGGTGGAATTAATGGCTAATTGTTATGCCAATGAATTTGCAGGATGCCAAATCTGACTCATTCTGTTTTGTGGCAGGCAACATCATTCAGTGTTCAAGACGATTAGAATCTCAGCACTCTTACATTGCACGTTTTTATCTTTTCATAAACCAGTGGGAGGTGTTTCTCAGAAGCTATCCTCTAATTCTGGTGAATTCATAGTTTATATAGTAAAAATTACCATGAAAAATATATGACTAGTAATCTTACTTGGAAAGGAAGTCCTGTTGTGTTTAATTATACTTCTTCTTAGGCCAGTTTCTGCGAGATATCAGTCTCAGGTACTTAACAGACAATCCATAACACATTAGTTTTTAATCTGGTATCTCTTAGGCGATCCCTCATAGCCCAAGGATGATGGTCCTCCAAGTTCAATGTCTTGACGATTAGTCCATAAGTGGCTGCAGAGCCCTATTCTTGATCCACATGTTCTCTCGCAATGTAAGCATCGGTTTCCAGATGGAAAGCAGTCGCGGTCAGGGTTGGCTTGATGCATCTTCCTCTTGGCATGTTTCTCCCTTTTGCCCTCCATTCGTGCCTTTTCAAATTCCGCAGCACTGCTGGTCACAGTTGACCTCCAGTTAGAATTCTCAAGGACCAGAGCTTCCCAGTTCTCGGTGTCTATGCCAGAGTTTTTAAGGTTGGCTTTAAGCCCATCTTTAAATATCTTTTCCTGTCCACCACCATTACATTTCCTGTTCTTGAGTTTGGAGTATAGTAACTGCTTTGGGAGATGGTAATCAGGCACGTGGACAACATGGCCAGCAGAGTTGATGGCGTAGGAGCATCACTTCAATGCTGATAGTCTTTGCTTCTTCCATCACTCTGACATTTGTCCACCTGTCTTCCCAAGAGATTTACAGGATTTTTCAGAGGCAATGCTGATGGAATCATTCCAGGAGTTGAGTGTGATGTCTGTAGACAGTCCATGTTTTGCAAGCATATAGCAGGGTTGGCAGGACAATAGCTTTATAAATAGCTTTATAAACCTTGGTCTCCCTATGGATTTAATCTGGTACTACTTAAGTTAAAGTAAAACAAAGAAAATTCACTGTTTTTCTTCTCCTTTTGTATAATTTCAGTCTTTAGTTCTTTTGTTAATTATGTTCCAGAAGGAATCAAAAGAATCCATACCTGGTTTTCTTAATAAAACAGTGAATTAGTTGAATTATCAAATAAGGTCCTTCTCAAGATATTTCTGGGTGAAATGTATGACCCTCTCCTATTTATTAATAATTCCCTTTTCATTAAAGGCATCACCTGTGCCCCAAAGATGTATCATTATGTAAAGTGGCTGAGATCCTACATCCCACAGGTGGATTGGAATATTTTACAAGATGGAGCTGCCTGTTTTTTCACTTTGTAGAATGCAAGGCCTACCTATGTTCTGCCTTGTTAACAACCTCACCTGAACTTCCTTGAAGAAGTAACCACAAGAATGCAGCCAACTACACTATGTAACAACATTTGAAAGTGTTATTTCCTGTTTAATTGTGTAGTACTTATTTTGAACTTTGAACTTCTTTTTTTGTGGCAGCCACAAATTATGTTGAATTGGTTGAAACTCTAGGAGATATTCATTGAAAAACCTTAGCAAAATGTGCTGCAGGATGTCCCGCAAAAACAAAGTTTTTGCAGTTTAATAAACGTTTTCTATGTTTTTATGATGGAACCAATTAGGAAATCTCATTGATAACCTAGAAACAAAAATTGTATTACATAGTGCTATCTATCTATCTGCACTTTGTTCTCCTCCCAATCCTTCTACAATCACTGTATGTCTGGAGATGTCCATCCAATTTAATTTACTATTATATTCTGTATTCACTCAAGTCTAATGCTCACTTTTTTGACCAAACAACCTTATCAAAATTGTGGTGCGCATTAGATTCATGTCATACAGTTACCTTAGTGCTGAGCCAAAGCAAAAGGGGAAACTGCTTCAGGAGCTGTACCTGGAGCTCCTCTTTGAGGGATGTAATCTCTAATTAAATGGCCACAGCACAATGCTATGCAATCTTGGGATCTGTAGTTTGGTGAGGCATCTGTATTCTTTGGCAGAGGAGGCTCAAAACCTTGCCAAACTACAGCCCCCAAAATTCCATAGCATTGAACCAAGGCAATTAAAGTGGATTCATTCTACAGCATAGATGCACCCCAAAGTTTTCATTTCCATCGCTGGAAGCTTTTGTGTTCTAACACAATTGTTTATAACAAAGGAATTTTAAGCAGGCAGCAACAGTAATGCATATCTTTTTTGGCCAAATTACAAAGGGTGCACTTTTTGCTGCTGTGCATTACATTCGGCCGCAAATACTTTTTTGGTTTCAGGGTTTTGAAAATTGAGATTCACATTAGATTCAATGGCGCATTAGACTTGAGTAAATACAAGTATTTATTTACATGCCTTTGTTGTATACCTTCAGATTGTTAATGACCCATAGTGACCCTAAAGCCAAGCTATCAGTTTTGGTTGTGTTATTTTTTTTTCCAGATTGGCAAGATGATCTAATGTGCTTCTATGAGGAAGATGACGGCTTACTGTATTGTTCTTGGTTAGCACTCCCCCAGACATCTCTATATACAGTGGTTTTCGAATGGTAAGTAAGTGGGGGGGGGGGGCTTTTTAAAAATCATGCCAATACTTTCTTAGAGTAACTTAAATTCCTCTCTCCATCAGAAGTAAATATCAGAAGGAAGATTTTTCTCAGGATCAAAGCAGAGTGGGGAAGGGGAGACAAAAACAAACCCGTATAGTTGCTGTAGTTTTGGTAACAGATTACCCAGCTGATATAGTTTGCATTTTTATAAACCCTACATCACACCATCAAGTACCAGCATGGTATTGTGATTTATGTGTTGGACTATGACTCTGAAAACTAAGATTCAGATCCTCCTTTTGGGCCATGGACATCCACTGGATGACCTTGGGCAGTCTTTCACTCTTTTAGCCTCAAAGGTAAGGAAAGACAAACAAATCTTGCCAAGGGAATCCTGTGATAAGTTCACAGTGTGCATGCATTAATTTAAGTCATCTGTTGACTTACAGTGATCCCATGAATTTCGTAGGGTTTTTGGCAAATAATACTAAGTGGTGGCTTGAACTGCTGGAAAAGATGGATCTTTAATTGTATCTTAATTTTTGGCAGCTCATTTCAATGTCGGAACTCTTTCAGCAGGTCATTCCACAGTCTTGGGGCGGCTGATGAAAAAGTGCTCTGGGTGACCATTACCAGTCAAGTTCTTGCTGGCCGAAGTAACCATCCTCCAGTATAAAATTTCACTTGTAGCATTTTAAAGTCTTAATTAGATATTTAAAAAATAAATACCGTATCTAAACGGAGGGGGAGGGAGGAGAGAATCCAAAGATATAACTGTTTTGACCTGGAATATCAGTTTGCAAGTGGATCATGTAACACCTTTACTGAGAGAATGATGCAACTTTCTGATGTCTATCTCAGATTACACTGTTTCTGATTTTCTGTGAACTTGCCACTTCTTTTTAGCCCAATTTCTGACTTTGCTGTATGTGTCTGCCTCATGAAGGGATAGAGTTTGTGAAAAGATGGAAACGACTGTATCGTCTATCAAAAGAAATTGGCTGTATTTGCATTCACAAGAAAATCTGACCGTATTGGTTGCCAGCAATTATTCCCAGGAGAGCTGCAGGACAACAAAGAAAATGTCATTTATACCCAGTAAAACAAGTACAGTTCTCTTCTTCAAAAATCTCAAATTGTCATTTTTTTCTATAAAACATTTGTTATGTGGTGCTATTGAACAGGAATTTACATTGGCTGATAAATTCTAGCAACTATATTGCCAGCCACCTGTCCTTGGCTATTGGGTCAGTGGGCAATCTTCCTACCCATTTTCTTTCTCTTCCCTTCTCTTTGTCTCTGTCAATGTCTTTCTATCAAGCCCAGTTTGAAGCCTAATCTGTTCTGCCCTCGTGGACGTACAGCATGTGATGAATCTTCACTGCCACAGTAGCAATGCATAACTTAATATAGTTTCATGATTGTGATTATGACTATCTTAGTGTAAGCCAACATGGCATAATGACTACAGTTGAGTTTCATGCAAAGCTTTCAACGTAAGATTGACTGTAAGAGCATGCCTTAGATGGCCTTTCCACCCTGGAGCCTTACATAAAAGACTGCTTGGCGAATTATTTATTCCTTTTCCCTGTATGGAACAGGCATTGTTCTGCTTATGAATACCTTTTGGGGATCCCTATACTTGTCAAAAGGAGCCCCGGTGGTGCAGCAGGTTAAACTACTGAGCTGCTGAACTTGCTGACCAAAAGTTTGGTGGTTCAAATCCAGGGAGTGGGGTGATCTCCTGTTGCTACCTCCAGCTTCTCAACCTAGCATTCAAAAGCATGCAAGTGTGAGTAGATCAATAGGTACTGCTTCAGCGGGAAGGTAATGGCACTCCATGCAGTCATGCCAACCACATGACCTTGGAGGTCATACAGACAATGGCCGGTCTTTTGCTTAGAAATGGAGATGAGCACCACCCCCCAGAGTCGGACACAAATAGACATAATGTCAGGGGAAACCTTTACCTTTTTATACTTGTCAATTAATGAGAAAGAAGGTGGATTTAATATGACCAGCAGAATCAAGTAGATAAGACTTTGTTCCAGTTAAGTTTTGGAACATGAGAAAGAGAGTCTTGCCAGAAGGAACATTAATCAGAACCTCCATCCCTGTAATACAGGCAGTCCCCAAGTTACAAACACTTGACTTACATATAACTCGTAGTTAAGAACAGGGTTGAGACAACATAAAGTGAGAGAAATCTACCCCTTGGAAGGGAAATTCAATCCTGAAAGAGTTATCATTGGAGAAAGGTGTCTCCAGTGAAGTTTTACCACCAATCCTTGTTTCCACAGCAAGCCACGTTTTTCAAAATCCAATTATCACAGGGACAGAAAGTGCACAGACAGCAAACCAAACACCACAAGGGTGTTAACCCTTCCCTATGCATGCCAAAGCTCTGTGTATATATGTGTGTGTGTGTGTGGAGTTACACTTAAAAATATGCCTGTTTTGACTTAAATACAAATTCAACTTAAGAATAAGGTTACAGAATCTAGCTTGTTCATAATGTGTGGACTGCCTGTATATGGGAATATAATTTCTTCAATAATGGGAATCATTTGAACAAGCAGGTTCTCTGTCCTCTGCTCTTACAATTTGCAGATTGAAGTGGAGACATCTTAAGGCATTTCTACTTTTCCATTTTAGAAAAGTGTTCTTCACCTTCTATGATAACAGCCTATCAGTTGTTCAGTGAATTAATAATTATATGGGACTCACCAGAAGATATGCTGCAATATGAATTACAGTACAAGGAAGCAAAACTAGCAACCTCAAGCTGGACATCAGTAAGTCTATAAAATATATCTTGCCCTAGAAAGCAACCATTCAATATTGTCTCAGAATACTTTTCCTGTGAATTTCCACCTTAGCTTTACTAGAATATGAATAAATTGGCTCCGAATTATGGGCTACAACATTTTTTACTTTGTATCTCATTTGGGGTTCCCAGTGAGCTATTTGGTTGCAAAAGGTGCCCGACTTGAAGCTGTAAGGCTTTTAGCTCATATTGATCTCCAAGAAAATGCTGCACTAGTTTTTTACTGCCTCTCTGATGCATTATATAAGAACGTTGCTATTTATTCTGGAAAATTGCTCCTCTATTTAACTTGCTCATATAACCTAAAGATCCTTTTAATAAGTACAGATTCAATACTTTGCATCTGACGGAAGTCAAGATTTTGTTTTGTTTTGTTTTTTGTCATGTCAGAAGCGACTTGAGAAACTGCAAGTCGCTTCTAGTGTGAGAGAATTGGCCGTCTGCAAAGATGTTGCCCAGGGGATGCTCGGATGTTTTGATGTTTTATCATCCTTGTGGGAGGCTTCTCTCATGTCACCACATGAGGAGCTGGAGCTGATAGAGAGAGCTCATTCACGTTCTCCCCGGATTTGAACCTGCAACCTGTCAGTCTTCAGTCCTGCCAGCACAGGGGTTTAACCCACTGCGCCACCGGGGGCTCCTTAGTCAAGGGGTGAGATGATGGCATATCCAGCACAGATAGTGCCCATATGGTTGTGAAATGATGGAAGATTTATCTCATTTTTTCTGGAATGCTCTTTGTATTTAGATTGAAGTACTCAATGCCTCTTAATGTTGATATTTAAGATTCTATACCCTCAAAAATACCTGACATATGGGGGAAGCACAATTTGGATTTTGCTTTGCTGTCCTGTTGACATTCCAGCACAAAATACCGAGTTTCATAACATTTGTAAAGATGAACACTGCTTAATCTCTTTTGCATTAAGAATGATTAGCTTAATTGCACTTATTTTCAGGTTCCTGTTGTGGATGGAGCCTTTAATGCAACTGTCTCCAGTGTAAAATTATCATCATCTTATGTTGCTAGGCTCAGATGTGTCCCCAAAGTCGAAAGTTGTTCTATTTGTGTTTGGAGTGAAGAGATTTCTATCCCACACAGTAAGTGTCAGGTATATTAATTGGTCTGAAAAAATATGGATTCATTTCACTTTTTATGACCCTTAAACCCTTTTGAATATTGTTCTGTGCTGACATTAGACATACTGTTGTTCTTTAACAGAGCTTACTGAAAAGCCAATCATTTTAGAAGACACCGTTAAAATGATCTCACAAGGAAAGAGAAGCATCTTCCTAAAATGGATGGTAATCTCTCCTTCAGTTTATATATAAGGCAACTGCAGCTCTGTGACACTGTTATGGCTTATGTACATGTCTAGGATTCCCACCTGAACATTGTTATAATCCTCTCCAGAAGATTAGGCTGAGACTGGTCTAAAGTCTCCCAACAAACTTCATGGCTTGGCAGAGGTCTTTCGCATGTCAACACCTTATCCATTTTATTAAAGAATGCTTACTTGCAGATATTCCAAAGTAAACCAAACTGGTGAAACTGTATGAGTCTTTTCTATGCTCCCTACATAAGTAGTATCCTATTCTATGAGAATTCAAGGACAAAAACATAGACTGGGGAGATGAGTTCTTGTGATGTTAGAGATAAAAGGCATGCAAGGGTTGAAGTGTGGGGAGGACAGAAGTGCCTTTGGCCAACTGACTATGGGAGCTGGCTTGTAGGAAATGTGGATAGATGGGTCCAAAATATGGTAAAATCTAGTTTATTAGCTAATATGGCATCCCAAAGCCAGAAACTATCACCAATTTTTGATAGCAAGGCAGCTAGTAAAACTTGTTCAGCAGCTACACTGATTACAGCTAGCATTTGCAGCCTCAAAAATTGTGGAACGCTCAATATTGACTCACCAAAAGAGCTCTTTTCCTCTCAGGCCCTATGCCACTGTTTAATGGGGCTTGTGTGACAAGAACGGACATGGAGCAATGGATTCAAATTGCAGGATAAAATATTCCATCCAAACATTAGGAAGACCTTCCTGGTGGTAAGAGCTATTCAGCAGTGGAATATGCTGCTGCCTTGGAGACTGTTGGAGGGCACATCCAGACAGCCCCTTTATTGTGGTAACTCCCGCAAGGAGCTGTCCAAATGATGTCCTGGACAATCCCGAATTAATTGGCTACAAACCAGGAAAACCCTGGTTTGGAGCAAATTAATTAGATAGTGGATTTAATCCGTGCCTTCTTGGAAGGCGCGGGATAAACCCACTATTTCTGGTGTCTGGACTACAGTCCAGACATTATCCCCATAGTTTTCTGGACTAAATTAATCCGGAAAACTGTGGGAATACCCACCCACTCTCCTCCAAAGTGCCCAAACTCTTTTGAAAAGTAAAGAAAACTTACCCGGCCTCCAGTACACTCTTGCAGCAGCTCTTCTGGCACATAGAAAAAACGCGCCAGTAGAGCCGGGAGGGGGAGGAGTGATTTTCCTCCCCCTGCTCTCCTGGCGCATCATTTCTATGCACCGGGAGAGCTGCTACAATAGTGCACTGGAGGCCAGGTAAGTTTTTTTATTTTTCAAAGGGATTTGCAGGCTTTGGGAGAGGGGTTAGGGCTTACAGATATTTTCACAGGCCAGTCCCTCGAAAGCATCTGGACACCCACCCCAGAAAGTGCATGGGTGTGGACAGGCCCCCAGGAATATCTGCATTTTAAAAATGCAAATGGTCCTGGGATAACTGCCTGCCTGGAAATGCCTGGAGTCTCCTTCTTTGGAGTTTTTTAAGCAGAGGCAGGATGACTATCTGTTGGGGGTGCTTTGATTCTGTGCATTCTGCATGCAGAATGGATTTGGATTGGACAGCCCTTGTTGTCTCTTCCAACTCTGATTCTAAGAAGGTTCATGCGTTTGGATGTTGGCCTTCAACTTCCTGTCCTACTCCGTAATGGACCAACTGTCTTCCACCCTACAGTTGTCTTCCCTCACTTATAGCATTTGGTGTTCTTATGTTTGCTGAAAAGTAGCACACATACAAACACCTTTTTGCCGATCCAGGGAGCCCTGTTGCCAGTTGGGAATGAGTGGAAACAGGGCCGCAGACTTCTATTTCCATTTATTGTGTTTCTTTATAGCAGCTCACAAACAGAAATCAAATATTGTCTTCCTCCGATGTCTCTTGCCTAGAGAAATATTTCTCTGTGTGGAGAAGACAGCTTCTCTGAGAATTTGCTGATGTCCAGAAAACTGACAACTCTGTGTAGCTACACACCCACAGAACCTAGGCTGAATTTAGATGTAGCCATCCCAATCCAATTAACTACCATTTGTTGATCCAAGAAGAAGCCCTGGGAATAAATACACCCCTGTCTCACACACTGAAATGCAATACATTCTGATTTGTCTAACCACAGTTTCATATTTGAACTCGAAAAATATCAGTTGAATGTTTCAAACAAAGCAAGATGTTAAATCAGGATTGCTGAAGCTCCAGGAAACAGATCTCCAGGAAACATGGAAACATTGAATTCAGGTGCCAGAGAGAAAAAACAGGGATATAAAGATCACACTGCCATGCAATTTGTTTTCTATCCAACAATTCCTAGTTTGTTGTTGTAGGTTTTTCGGGCTATATGGCCATGTTCTAGAAGCATTCTCTCCTGACATTTCGCCTGCATCTATGGCAAGCATCCTCAGAGGTTGTGAGGTACACAACCTCTCAACTTCTGAGGATGTTTGCCATAGATGCAAGTGAAACATCGGGAGAGAATGCTTCTAGAACATGGCCATATAGCCCGAAAAAACTACAACAACCCAGTGATTCCAGCCATGAAAGCCTTCAACAATACAATTCCTAGTTTGTTGGACTAGGACTGATAAATTTGAATTGACTCATAGTAAGATGTAGAAATAATGTGCTGTGATGTGATATTTACAAAACAAAGAATCTCTCTACATCCAGAGCTATATGCAGAGCTAATTGGTACTAGAGCCCCTTTCAATGAAATTATGATTAATTATGTTTATTGCTGAAAATTTATCATTGTATAATTTACTTTGGTTATTTTTGCACATCTTGCAGCTTTAATGATGCCTATAATATTTTATGTCATTATGTTACTACCATGCTTAATAACCGTGGAATGTTGTGCGTAATCATTTAACAACTATTTGCTTATTTTAGATAACACAAAACAGGAATACCATGGGATATCACATAAGCATCCGAAGAATCCCCAGCTATTGCACCAGATCCCTCAACATAACAGAGAACTGGCTATATCTGAATCTTTCCATGGCTTATTACAGAATCAAAATCTCTGCCTATAACGAAGCAGGAGAATCCCCGGCAGTTACATATCTGGTTCCAGAATTCACTACAGAGTATTATTCAGTTGGAAAAAATGGTAAAGAATCCAACTTTTCTGACATTTTAAACTATGGCGCAAGCATGGGCAAATTTCAGCCCTCCAGGTGTTTTGGACTTCAACTCAATTGTGGGAGTTAAAGTCCAAAACACCTGGAAGGCTGAAGTTTGCCCATGCTTGCTATAGCACAAAAGATTGCTTTTTTACTATTGTTGCTACAGTTGTTTCCATCATTTTGTAGGACAAGATCCAATAGTTTACTTCTATTGGTTCTTGCTGTTTATATCAGAATTGCTGGTTCTACCTCACTGTCTTCTGTAACCCTGCATGCCCCACCCCAAACTTTTTTCACGTACCCCAGAAACCTACAAGTCCATGCTCTCCTATTAAAGCAGATATTTGACATTTGATATTTAGTGCAGCAAGTTAAACCACTGAGTTGTTGAACTTGCTGACCACAAGGTTGGCAGTTTGAATCCAGGGAGCAGGGCGAGCTCCCGCTGTTAGCCCCAGCTTCTGCCAACCTAGCAGTTCGAAAACATGCAAATGTGAGTAGATCAATAGATCCCGCTTCTGTGGGAAAGTAACAGTGCTCCATGCAGTCATGCTGACCACATGACCTTGGAGGTGTCTACGGACAACGCCGGCTCTTCGGCTTGGAAATGGAAATGAGCACCACCCCCCATAATCAGACACGACTAGACTTAATGTCAGGGGAAAACCTAAACCTTTACTTTAAAGGCTACAGCAAAAATGAAAGAGAAAAAAGTCCTAATTTCTTTGGTGTTAGATACAAAAGCTCATGTTTTTGCACAGTTTTGTATCTATGTGAAGGCATTGATTAAGCTTATGTGAATTTTTCGTCTAAGCGTGCATCGATTGTGAACTTCTTGTAATGCTGAAACCATCGTGTTTACCTTCCAGAAAAATCGATACAATTTCCTTCCATGTAAATGTATAATACATTCGAATGCCTGTGTGGAATTGTCTTTTTTCAAAATCTTCCTTGGCTTTTTAAAAATTAACATTTCCCTGTTTACCTACAGATTTACCTGACCAGATCAATGTCTCAAATAATCAAAATCATACGGTTGTTTCTTGGAATCTAAAGTACACTCCAAAGCGCATTGTGATTGACTGGGGGACAGGAATTGAAAACATGGACTTGGAAATAATATCAGGACGTATGAAAAAGAAAACACTAGGTAGTGAGTCAACTTTTAAACTTGGATTGAATAGACATTTCTTTCTCTAATAATTAAAGAACAGCATTATTTGTTTGTATATCAAAACTGTCATATTTTGTCCAATATCAGAAGAGCTCAGGATGATATAAAGATGAATTCTCAGCAGATTTCAGCAGTTTTAAGAATTTATTGCAATAGAAGTGAAAAAAACCCCTGAAATGTCTTAAGCAATTTAACAAGTTAAAAACACTTCCCGGAAACTTATATCAAAGCTATGTATTTGTAAGTAGGCTTAGGTACGAGGGAATTAAAATTGGGAGATTTTCTAATGTTTGTATCCAGTATATTAGTATTTAGAGAAGCTGGCAATGTGAACATTGGACAGTGGGGACATTGCACACCAGACACTCTTGTCATTTTCCTAGTGTAGATCTTTGTAATTCAATAACAGGGTTTCATAGCACCTCTGCTACTTAGCAAACTGTATGTAAATTTACAGTAGCTAGTTACCAAAGTATACATAAAGTTATATCCCCTCTAGAAAGGCTTCAAAGGTTCAACCAGTTTCAAGCCAAGGTGTTTGTTTTTTGTTTTGTTTTTTGGAATTTATCCATAAGTTCCCAAAGGTTTTACTAAACCATCATGCTTTTCTTGGTGCCAAAATGAAGCCAAAGCAGCCAAAATCAGGCTTTCAGAGAGAGGTGGGAAGTTGGCAACTGGGTGCCAAGTAGAGAAGGTCCTCCATCACCTCTTCACACACTGTATTGTCCTCAGTGATGGGAGACTGAGAATAGTCCTGCCACCACATCTTAATCCTTGCACAAACATATATAGGGTAGAATAACTAGTACAAAGAAAGACATTCATTTAACAACTGGTATAAAGATAGTCATACTGAACAACTCATTAGTTCAGATGGGAAATAGGAGCACCTGTCTATGTCAAATGGCAAACTTAGTTACACCTGGAAGAGTATTTTGAAGAAACTGCACACTCAAATGTGTGTGTGCCTGCTCTGGCAGTACCTCTGTCTTCATTGAAGCAACATCTCCCAAAAATAAATGTATGTAAATTCAAACCTCTGTTGTGAGGTGGGGCTTGTTGAATAGCAGATCTGATTGGCACAACTATTGGCAATGTTACTGTCCAAGAAAACTTAGCAGTTAGCCTAGTCCCATTCATTGCAAGGGCTGTTACTTGTCACTGTCAAATCAGTTATCACAGCATGTGCAGGTTTGCCTGTAAAAGAAGGGAATGTTTCCAAATTGTTTAGTTACAGAAGCAAGTTTAATTAAAAAATGTTGTCTGTAAGAAAAAAAGTGTATTACAAATGATGGATTTTGGGCATTTTATGAAATAGCCTTAAGGAACTGGCAAAATAGCTTCTGCATAGTGCTGGGCTTACAAAAAACTTCAATAGTGTTTCTCAACCTGGGGGGGTCACAAGGAAGTTTCAGAGGGATCACCAAAGACCATAAAAAAAACATGTATTTCTGATGGTCTTAGGAACCTCTTTGGCAGGGAAGGCTGAAGATCTCCCCACCTGTCCTCTTCCTTTTTTGGAAACAGATGGCAAATCCTCCCACCAAAAGCCCTCCTCCTGGTCTCTGGATGTAGATGAACTAAAACTCCAAAATTCAACGTCAATGCCCACCACACCCTTCCAGTATTTTCTGTTGGTCATGGGAGTTCTATGTGCCAAGTTTCGTTCAGTTCCATCATTGGTACAATTCGGAATGCTATTTGATTGTAGGTGAACTGTACATCCCAGCAACTACAACTGCCAAATGACGAACTCAGTTGCTCCCCCCCCCCCCCACAATCTCACCAGTATTCAAATTTGGGCATATTGGGTATTTGTGCCAAATTTGTTCTAGTGAATGAAAAATACATCCTGCATATCAGATATTTATATGACAATTCATAACAATAGCAAAATTACTGTTACAAAGTAGCAATGAAATTGATTTTAAGGGGTCGTGGCATTCAGAAGGTTGAGAAACACTAAACTACAAAATGCATAGGGTCACCCTAAGTCAACAAGCAACTTGAAAACACATTGAAGAATAGATATAATGCACCAAGTATAACTGAAATCATCTGTTATATTACATTATATCTTCTGGAGAAGATGGCATAGCAAACCATAATAAAGCTAGAAACTCAGAAACCAGCTAACAACAAAAAAACTTTCTCTATTCTTTCTCAACAAGTTTAGTTCCCTTGCTCCGCTCTTTCCATCACTGCAGTCACTGAGCACAAATTTCAGTATCAGCAAAAGTAAAATCAGTGATATTTAGACAAAGAATGACAGCCACATCAATTGCACAGACTACATTTCGGTTTTCCTGCTTGGACAGTCTGAGAAGTGAAGGGTTATACATTTCAGACAAAGACATATGAGAATGACAACAAAATAGCAGAAGATTCCCATTACTCAGGCCAACCTATTGCCATAAACTTTACTTACTGCTTTGTCACCAGATAAATAACTTTTCCTCATCTTCTTGAACATGTGTCCTTGCAAAGCAGGAGTATAACCTCTTAGCTTGCTATGAAATCCAGCTGTTTTGTGTGCAAAGAAAGCACCTCTTGTTCCAAACCTTTCACAGGATGCTCATTCTGCATATTGATAGGGATCGCACAGGTGATTGTGGCAAAGAGATCAATCAGGATTAGCCGTAATGTACACTGGAGGGCATTGGCTCTGAGTTGCTATCAATTATTCATCACCTCTCTTCCTTGACCTTCTTTTATTACATGTTTTCATCCTGTTCGGGTTGCTTTTTTTTTTAAGCTTCTGGAACAGAAAATCCATATCTGAACGATCAGGAGTAAAGTCATTGCATTTCAACACATCACCTCTACCTTGGAGGTATAGCAAGCTTACTTTGAAAGGCAAACACTGGGTATTCTACAACACCTATTTTAGTTTAACAATAGAACAGATCCACTCATAATCCAAGGATGACCTGACATACATATGTATACTCAATTAATTAAAATATGAAGCCAAATTTAGGGAGTGTTTCCTTGTCTACTGAGGGGTGGGAGGTTCAAAGGAATGTCAGGGGTTACTTCCACAAGTTCCAACTTATGTTCCTAAAACTGGATCCAACAATTATTGCACAGGGTTGTTGTAGGTTCTTCAGGCTTAAGGCCATGTTCTAGAATGTGGCCATACAGCCCAAAAAACCTACAACAACCCAATGATTCCAGCCATGAAAGCCTTCGACAATAAATTATTGCACAATATCTGTGCCTTCAAGTCACCTATCGACTTATGGAGACCTCATGAATTGCATAGGGTTTTCTTAGGCAAGGAATACCCAGTCATGTCCTGCCAGTTTCTTGCTCTGAAAGATAACCTGAAGCACTTCATATTTGTTGAGAAGATTGTGTTGCTTCTTAATTATATGTTTTAAAGTAGTAACGCCTGTATCTATGTCTAGGTCAACTCCAACCATATCGGTTATACAAGGTAATGTTGCATGCATTTCATGGTTCTTGTGAGGACTTCCTGAAGCATGAATGGACATTTGGCATGACATACTTCTATGCGCTGGAAGGAGGTATACCATCTTTTTTATTTTTAATCTTACTACTTTTATTGAAAAGTAGAACCATGGAATCATACAACTGAAAGAGAGCACAAGTGCTATCCAGTCCAGTTGCATTTTGCCTTGCAGGAACACATAATCAAAGCACCCCTGACAGATGACCATCCAGCTCCTATTTAAAAAGCCCCAAAGAAGGAGACAGCACCATACTCCAAGGCAGCATACTATACTGATGAACAGCTTTTATAATCAGGAAGCCCCTGGTCTTGCAATGGGTTAAACCCTTGTGCCAGCAGGACTGCTGACCAAAAGGTCGGTGGTTTGAATCCGGGGAGCGGGGTGAGATCCTATCTGTCAACTCCAGCTTCTCATTCAGGGACATGAGAGAAGCCTCTCACAGGATGGTAAAACATCCAGGCATCCTCTGGGCAACATCTTTGCAGACAGCCAATTCTCTCACACCAGAAGTGACTTGCAGTTTCTCAAGAAGATCAGGAAGTTCTTCCTAATAGTTTAGGTGGAATCTTTTTTCCTCCAGTTTGAATCCATTGCTCTGTGCCGTAATCTCCAGAGCAGCAGAAAACAAGCTTGCCCCTTCTTCAACTATTTAAGCATGGCTATCATGTCCAATTGCAACTGTGTTTTCTCCAAGCTAAATATACCCAGCTCCTTCAGTCGTTCCTCATAGGGCTTGGTTTCCAAACCTTTGATCACCTTGCTGGACATGTTCCAGTTTGTTAATATCCTTCTTGAAGTGTATACTTTTAGGCAATCTCTGGATTAGCAATTTTGTAATAAGAAGTATAGTATAAAGGTCTCAACTGAGTAGGGCATTCAGTTGACTAAGAGCAGGTAATATTAACTGGAGAAAATTATGGGCTCAAATTCACTAAGGCAGTACTGATTGAGTAACCTAGACTTACACATTTGGGCCTGATTGGTATTCATAATCCCTATGTATTCACTAGTTTAAGGAATACTTTGGGACTGTGAAATTCCACTAGATGTCACTTATCAAGCAGCAGTTGCTCATGAAGCAACAGGGATCTGTTCTTCAGATGACTCATGTTTACTCTCTCCTTCTCAGGATTGATCTTCAGTGTAAGAGGTAATTGTGATGGGTTCTGACTGTTACACTATAGATCATTCACAAGAGAATATGGAACTGACGGTCAGCTACTTTCCAATTAACAGGAGAATAGGTTCCTGTTGCTTGCAGTGGCTTCTGCTCAATAAATGAGGATTGGTGTAGTCAGGCTGGAAGGCACAGTGCCAGTGGTTCGCAATCTGTGGGCCCCCAGGTGTTTTGGCCTACACCTCCCAGAAATCCCAGCCGGTTTACCAGCTGTTAGGAGTTTTGGGAGTTTTGTTAAACAAAAAACACACTTACCATGGGCAAGTCCAATAATTTTGTTGTATCTGCATGAATATTGCAGACTTCTACTCATCAAAGAATCTGAACCACTCCAGAGGAAGATATTGCAGCTGATGCCAGTTTTAGAATGAGAATGACCACTATTAGGATGATTCTAAGCCAATATGCTATATCTCCCCATCCCACATTAACCTAGAAATGTTTTGGGGTTTTTTTTTTTGTTTTTTTGCTGGCCAGTATATCAGTAGTTCAGGTATATCTCAGTCAACAAAGGAGATGTGTTCTTAGGCATTACTTCTTTAACATAAAATTTTGCATCAAGGTCAGAAATAACATAGAAAGTACAGCAGTAGGTTTCTACAACATGTAAATACAGAGCCCTCTGTGTTGCAATGGGTTAAACCCTTGTACTGGCAGGACTGCTTACCAAAAGGTCAGCGGTTTAAATCTGGAGAGCAGGGTGAACTCCCATCTGTCAGCTCCAGCTCCTCATGCAGGAACATGTGAGAAGCCTCCCATAAGATCAGAGGCAGCCCTAGGTAATTTTCAATGGTAAGCAAACAGTATTTTGGAGCCCCCCCCCCCCAACCAATCACTGATATATATTTTCTGTTCGTTGTGGGAGTTCTGTGTGCCATATTTGGTTCAATTCCATCATTGGTGGAGTTCAGAATGCTCTTTGATTGTAGGTGAACTATATATCCCAGTAACTACAACTCGCATATGTCAAGGTCTATTTTCCCCAAGAGCGCCTCAAGTGCACCCCTGGGCAATATCAACTATACTGCAAATGCTTACTTTGCGCAATGGGTTGAGCCGCCCCTGCATAGGATAGTAAAACATCTGGGCATCCCTTGGGCAAAGTCCTTGCAGACAGCCAATTCTCTCACACCAGAAGCAACTTGCAGTTTCTTGAGTCGCTCCTGACATGAAGAGGGAAACCATGTAAATGAAGAGAAGTTTAACATGTTTCAGCTAACTTTTAATTTGAAATTAGCAACATAAACTCATGAAACGCAACAAGCGAGTCAGGTAGACATTAAGAATCCCTGATGAATACCAGTATGCCCAATGAAAATTATTTGCTCATTTCCTTTGTTTTGCATTTTCTCAGTTACATAGATCTTTTCTTGCCTCGACATCTGAGTTGCCTTGCTAAAACACAAATCCTTGGTCTTTTCATTTTCCATCTCTAGTTGCATGTGAAAAATCAATAGGTCATTTCTCATCCTAGTTATCTGCTGTGGATGAAGAATACACTACAAAAGCAAATTGACAGATTCACAGAGGGAACAGTTTTTCGGCGCCTTCCTGCTGAGGCGCTAAAGAGAGACAGAGGGGGTGGAGGGACACATTTGTCTTTGTAGTCAACTGAGGGAAAACACAGGTAGGCCAGCCAAAGCTAACAGTTCTTTTCTATCACCGGGTGTCAAAATCAGACATATATATAATGCAACTAAAGGATAGAACTGAGTATTATGAAAGGAAAACCTGTTCTGAAATGACTTCTTTTAAAGTTCCCAGGACAGGTCCAACTAACGTGACAATTCCAGTTGTCACGAAGCATTCGGCTCTTGTGAAATGGACGGAGATACCTGCACAAGAGCGCTTGGGATTCCTTCAGTCTTACAGAATTCACTGCATAGAAATCCCCAAAAATGTCTCTTTGAGTAAGTAACTTTATTGACTGAATATTATGATAAAAGCTTTATCATTCATCTTGTACCTGGATAAAGCTCAGAGGAAGGCATGCATTCAGGTTTGCAACAGAACCAAGAGCAGTTTTCCTTCTGCAACTGATTTTACATGGGTTTGAGAAAGGGAAGGAAATTTCCCATGGCAATTTGGGTTTAAAAGGAGCAGGCAAATAACCAGACAATCAGTATTAATGGGTCTCGCAGTGGGGATAATCCCTCTCCTAAAATGAGAGTACACTGCTGTAGCTATCAGAGAATGCTTGGAGTCAGCCAGTTTTTGCTTAGGTATTTTCCCACTGATCTGAATCAAAGTGGTTCAGAGCAGCCACCCAACATCATTTAACAAGGATCCTTATACAATAGGAAAATTCCTAATTCCTCTAGTGCACTTCTATGGTCAACTTCTGACAGAAGTTAACTATAGCATCCCTGTCGGTGTTGAGATGGACATCATCCACTAAGGCAACCATAGCAGTCTCAACTCCATATCCTGAAGCTGACTTGAAATGGGTCAAGGAAGTGTGTGTTATCCAAGACTGCCTGAAGTTAGAGGGCAACTGCCTTCTCATCACCTTGCCCCAAAAAGATTAGGCACTGGGCTGGAGTTATTAAGGTCCAAGGGATCCAGGGAGGGCTTTTTCAGCAGGGGAACCAGGGAGGGCTTTTTCAGTAGTTTCAGAAACTACTGCTTCTTTTAAACAAATGGAAATTTTGCCTTCCTGAGAGATGTGTTAATAATTTGTTGCATTTGATATTGAATTGCATCTCCTCCCTGGACGACCAATCAAGAGGGATAGGGATCAAGAAAGCAAGTTGTCCTCCTTACTTGCCCCAGCATCTTGTCCACATCAACAGTACTCACCAATTGAAAATGATCTGGTGTAATCCCACTCACAGAGTCGCTGGACACTTCATTGTTGTCTTCTGCTCCAATGACTCCATTTAAGTAGCAGTTGTGACTGGTGCTGTTCATGTCACTGAGGCCATTAATTCAATCTAGTCTAAACAGAAAAAGAGCTAAATCTACTTAAATAAAGAAATTAGCGCCATGGATAATGCCTTTGAATTCAGGCTAAAATCAGAATGGATTCAATGAAGCCATCAGCCACTATTGACCAGTATAATTGTACAAGTTCATTTTAAACAAAACAGTGTGTATATAAGTCTTTTTTTCTGTTTTGGGTGTATGGACACATTAAATCTTACATTAACTGGTATCTATTGAAACTGAGGGTGGAAATCATGCAGCAGCTCCCAGCATTCTTCTTCTTTTTTGCTATGCAAGCAACTGGGCTGTTGGGTATTGCAATCTAATCACGCCTGGAGGGCCAGACCTTTCTCACTTGTTGCTCTTTGTCTTCCTGTGTTGCAGCTGTGGTTGTCAATTCTTCAACAAAGCAATACCTCCTGACAGAACTTAATGCAAAAACTGTTTACACAGTACATATCTCAGGAATCACAAGTAAGGGGGAAGGAGCTCACAGCCAGACTCAACACTTTACTACACTGAAATACGGTATGGTGAAGTTTTAACATAGCCATACAGCCTGAAAAACTAACAGCAACCCTATATTTATATGGTTTGAGTGTATACTCTATCCTTTAATATAGATGATGCTTGGGTAGGCTATAAAAGCAAAGAATAAAAATAGAGGGTTGCTTCTAGTGCTGGTATTGCCTGAGAATAAACCTTTCCCGCCATACCACATTGTGGCATATGATCACTTACACACCCATGTCCTCCTAAGCATTGGAGTGTTCCTTCTGGAGTATAACGGGATATGTGGTGTGTGATGAAGAGGTGGTGAGCATCAGATGAATCTTGAACATGTTGCAAATTGGGAAGAAACAGCTTTCCATACTTTGGCGATATAAAGCATTTTGTATATGTAGAAAAATGCAAGGGTAACCATGTCTATGAGAGAAAATGTCAAAATCGGTTGCACTATAATACCTTTACTTTAGGCCAACCCAAAGAGCATGAAAACCTAGGCAAACTATCCAGTTCTGTTTGATCTCATTTTTAAAATTACCATACAAGGTATTTTAATCTAGCAAGGGTGAATGAAGGGGTGATGGTAGATTTCAAATGTTGTCTCCTTGTTGTCTCTAATGTAATGTGAAGAAACAATCTTACAGATTGTCAAATGAGGTTCATCATATTAGACTTCTTCTGGAGCCTTCGTTAAATCAACTGTGAATTGAAAAGGCTAAATTTCTGAATCTCCATTGTCATCCATTCTAAATTATCCACATAGCATAGACATCAAACAGTTCTATTGACAAGGCTGGCTATAATTTTATATTGTGTGTACAAAATAGCTTGATGTTGTAAATTTGGTTCTTTAAGCCGAGTTTAAATTTGCAAATCAGTGAGTTAGAGAGTGAAGAGTAGATCAACGCCAAGATCACAGAATAAAGCCTACATCTAGCAGTTTTAATTAGAGCAGTTGAATTAATGATTACTTTTTAAAGTCAACACTTAATTAGAGCAGTTGAATTAAATTACATGTAAGTTAAATTACATTGACTCAACAACTTTGTTATAATTGTGACTAACAATAAGATTCAGGCCCAAGATTAACTTTCAGAAGAAAATGGAACTATGAAGGAAATCTTAGGATTGTTGATATACAGAGCATCTTTTTAATGTTTTGAGAAAAGCAAGGAAAATGATCAATACAATAATATAAATGCACTAAGGTATTAACTTTGTATTATGAAAACCATTTGAACAGGAATTCTAGCCTTTTTCCTCCTCCTAGATCTCCCTCCAGTTCATTTCATATATTTTCTATCGACGGTTCAATAATAAATAATTCCATGATGTCAGGCAAAGTTCATACCTTCCAGCCTGACATAGCCAGCCATGGATCAATTTGTCTCCCTCAGAGCACCAGCAATGAAAGGGAAACAATAAAAAAGCAAGAGAGATACAAATATAGGATAAGGACGGATAAAACATTAATGGGAAATAGAGAAGAATGTGTTGACGGTTGTGAAAACTTTGTCCAAAATTGATCCTGATCAGGAGTGAGGTTATAAATTTCATCATTTGCATCAGTTTGAAATTAATTTGTAGGTTGTCCCACTGGGTTATCAATATTTGAATCTCCAGATGTTTTGAACTTGAAGACAACTTTGAACAACTTTCAAACCGTTTTCATTGCATCTGTGGTGGATCTTCTTTGTAGCTTGATCCCACATAGGGCTCCTATTGTCCCCCTGAATCTTTTACCTTATTGGGGTCTGGTGTTTAGGCCTCAAGACGTCCACTGTACTAGACTAGTGGATGTAGTAGTCACTGGGTTTAATGTGGCCTTGTTAATAATTACATTAAAAGACAGAGATGTAGAAAACAAAAAGTAATAGACAAATAAACCAGCATCTAGCTTTATGGTGGTTCCAAACACAGTATATTACCCTGATCACTCTCAGCCCTGCAAACCCTATTCAGAACCTCCATCCTCACTTCATAGTCTCCAAACTTGATCAGGATTTACAAGATACTCAATATTGCAAAGGTATTCATTCTATCATAGCCTTTTTTTGGAGGGGCGAGGGTTCAGACTTGTGTATCTCTCATTGTTTGTTTATTCTCAGATGAAGGAGAATTTGAAAGAATGCTTGCTGGCCTTTTTCTTGGGACCATAGTAATCAACACACTCTTTTTCACCATACTTTATGTTTTAGTATATAAAAGGTAAGACATTTCCACAACACGGTAAGACTTTACTTGGTTTTCATGTTTCCATTTAGATCAGTGGTTCTTAACCTGTGGGTCCCCAGGTGTTTCGGCCTACAACTCCCAGAAATCCCAGCCAGTTTACCAGCTGTTAGGATTTCTGAGAGTTGAAGGCCAAAACATCTGGGGACCCACAGGTTAAGAACCATTGATTTTGAACATATAATTTAAGAATCATGAATTGTAGAACCTAAATGAGCACAGTAGAGAAAGAATGGCTAGAATCCTGTTTGTTAGTCTGAACTAAAAGTAGACTCACTTAATCAACTGTTGAAAGGTGAATCAACACAGGTAAAACCAACTGATTTACTGGCTCTACTCAAGACTAAAATAAGACAGGCCAATATTTTAAAAGCAAATATTTATTTGTGATTAATATGATCAATAATCCTATTGGTTAATAATCATTATGAAACATTTGGAACCTTGGTAATATTTGTTAAAAGATCCTCAAGTTTTAAACATTTTTACTTTCAGATCTAGAGAAATGTGTTGGCCAGTTGTCCCAAATCCACGATACAGCAGTGCTATACAGAATATGGAAAGCACCTTTCCAGTGGTAAGCAGGTATTATTTTAAATAAGTGGTTCCCAACCTGTGGTTTGTGGACCACTAGTGGACTATAAGAACTAAAATATGAGCCGCGGCCTCACAGTTCCTCCATTGTTGCAACAAGAGCGAATAGTCTCACAAAACCTTCTTATAGTGTTGAGACTTATTAAATATGGTTTTCTGTGGGCGAGCAGGTGGTGACTATTGGATGGCATATGTTCTGTATCAGAAATTAGAGCGGATGTGATCTGTCCAATGCAATTTTCTGAATCAGCACTCCAAATAACCAAACCGAATCTAAAGTTGACCAAAAACTAATTTGTAACCCTTTTGGTACTAATGTTGGAGAGTGGTCCCAGGTCAACGTGGTCCTTGGTAAAAAACAAAACAAAACAAAAAAGGTTGGGAGCCACTGTTTTAAAGCATCATAGCACCATCTGGTTAAAATTTCTTTTTATTAAAAAAACAGAAAACCCAACGTTATAAGCAATGTAGTTATAAATAATGCAGCTAAAACAGACCAGAAATCATTAGGATTTTATTACATCATTTCCCCTTGAAGTTATTCATGAAAATATACGATTAAAGGGCTGCAGTAAATATAACTAAACTGGAATTTCTATTGTTATTACTCTGCCTCATTTTTTGATATAGACTCCTAATTTTTATGCATCTGCATTAACACTATTGTTTGTGCCTTCAAGTCATTTATGCCTTATGGTGATGCTAAGGTTACCCTATCGTGGGTTTTCTTGGCAAGATTTGTTCCAGTATTTAAGCCCAGTGGCCAAAAAATTAACAAAAAAAACAATGGCTGTTAAAATAGTCAACATCAGCATATAATGAAATGGTTCTGAAATATTTGGGACTTTTTATGTCTTGATCCTTAACCTTTGCAGTTCAGACTTTCCATAGATCTATTAGTAAATTTGATATTGTATTAACAATGTTGTATAAAGTCACCTAGCAAAGAAAAAAAGGTCATTCCTAAACCAACAGAAATGAGGTGGAAGGAAGAATGAATGTGAAGGTATGATTGAGGTGGGAGGAACAGCAGAAAGTTAATACTGACTCGCCCAAACAAAGGGGATTGTGTTAATAAACATACAATACAGAGCAATACCAACAGGCTGGCTATAACATCATGTCAACATAATTCCAATACTGTATTATTAAATGAAATATTGAAGACCAGTCACATCTTGATTTTGTTCCTCCTGTTAGCTTTAAAAATATGCTCCCACATAGAATCACTGAGTTGAAAGAGACCTCGTGGGCCATCCAGTCCAACCCCCTGCCAAGCAGGAAAATAGCATTCATCTACAGACTGACTATACCTCTCAAGATACAGTACATTTACCACATCTTGTTTCATTTGACTTACAGGCTCTCCTTGGACCTGATTTACAGCAGTTGCTTTCATCTCAACCATGTAACAGAGAGAACAAAATTTATGTGGAAGAAAACCATTCCCTTATAAGGCAGGGTTCCCCTTCAGTGGACACAGCTACAGGGGAGGTTTTGGCAGAACAACCTGAAGTGGTTGAAATGGAAAATCTGGAACCTAATCTGCCTCCTTTGAACAAATCGGATGAAATGAATTCCAGGAAAAAAGGACATGGTGCCCTTCTCACTGACTATGTTGGAGTGGCCCTTAGTCACAGAGCCATGCAGAAGTTCTCAGCAAGTCTTCCCTCAAGAGAAATCTACCATTTGCCCAGTAATTTGGAAAGAATCACACAACCAGCAGCATATGCTCCTCAGGGTTTCATGAAACGTTTAAGAGGTGATGAGGACAGCAACACTATCCTCAAGAACCAAGCTGAAGTTGGATCAGAATCTTCTTAAGTAATCAAATGTAAGTAGCAATAATATAGCTCACTTCAAGTTTTCTAAGCTAGACCCAGGTACTTTTGAGTATCTCTACATTGCGATGTATCAATGCAAACTCAAAATACCCATATCGTTATTCTCATAGGTAATCACTCGTGGCTGAGTATGATTGTCTTCCAGAGGCAGAGTCTTGGCAGTGGATCCATAAATGACCGTGAAGACCTCTTCTGAATCACAATAAGGACATAGATTTCCAGATGGACGGTGGTTCAAGGATTTGCTTGAAGCACCTTCCTCTTGGCACGTTTCCCCCACTTGCCCTGTATACCCATAAACCAGGAAGAGACTGTCTTCCCAAGCAAGTAACAATAACCACCTTTCAAAAGTATTCCTTCAAGAAGTGAATAGAAATCATTTCCCTCTAAAATACTTAATTTTATTAGTGATGTACCAAAGATAACATGTATACAATCTTTGCTCTATGCTACTTACACATCATAAATATGACAGTTGCTGTTCCAACACAGTCTTTCACAGTCTTTCAAGAAGCATTTGAGATTTGTCGTCACTTTATTACCAGAAGAAACTGTTTGCCGCCAACTGCATGTGGCCAAACATCACAAAAATTACTGTCCATACTTTACATGGTAAAGCATTCATTATAATTTTCATGTACTCAGAGGCCAAAAAGAAAAAGAAAAAGAGGGGTGACAGCCTTTAGGCAACAACAGAAAAAATATGGGCAATAAAGCAATGTCACAATCAATAGTTTTAATCACTTTGCGCGTGCTCAAATTGTTTTCCATTTACCACAAAATATTCACATGTTGACTAAGCAGCAATTTTGAAAACACGCCTTAAAAGCTAATACTTACTTACTTATTTGGCTTTTCTGTATGTTTTTCCCCATGAGGTAAGGCAATTTGATTGTTTTGTATCATTTTCAAAAGGTTCCTGATTTCAGTGTAACCATGTTTTGAAATGTTCATTTCTGTTGTCAGTCTCATACTATACTCCAAAAATTAGGCAACGATCTCTGCAATTGTTTTCTACTCATGTCTTCTTATACAACTCATGTCAGAAATGAATGCTTGAGGATATTCAAAAGGGCACTTTTGATTTCATTGTTAGACATTCAGCCCATAATAATTAACAGGAAGTGCTTTTATTCAAAACTATTTGATTCATACTTGTTATAAGGTCCACTAACTTAGGGACTAACCGGGCTGTAAGATGATTTTATCAGTGAGTTCAGCCATGAAACCTAATTCATTTAAAGAGATCTTCAACCAGTTACCAAATAACAAGATGACATGACCAACAGATCTCTAAAGCCTTTGTCTGCTATTGTGATGGAACTATCCAGAAGATCAAGCAGTCAACAAACCGGGAATTAAAAAGCACTAGGAACTACTATTTTATGTTTCAAAGAAGGCACTAACACATCCGCTTGTGCTCCCACGTTCCATTTAAAAAGAAACACATTTATTTTTGTTGTGGGCGTTTGTCCTATTTTGCAGGCGACCGAGACACTGCAATAAAGCTACCCAAGAAAGCCGGCTGTTTGGAGATTACTACATTATGTGCTTATTATAGTTGGCAGAATGGAAATCCAATATAAACATGGATTTTCTTTCTAGAACCAGAATGTTAGCATGCATTGATCAACTACTAGTGAGAGAAGGATCCAAGACTTATTTATAAGCAAATTACTTAAAATATAAAAAGAAATACACAAGCAACAAAAGAAGAAAAAAAACCTCTTCACTTGCTTTTGAGGGCAATAAACACAACAACTGTAAAACTGTGTTAGGTTAAAAGTTTTCATCACTGTCATTTACAACAACAAGGAAGCATGTGTAATTTTTGCACCATTTTCAAGCACATCATCAAAACATATCACATGGAGTTTAGCTTAAAATTTCATAAAGCAAAACATCAAACTCTTCAAACTACCAGTATTTTAAACAATTCCCAATGCATCCCCAGCAGCTCTTCTGGGTTGTACAGGATACAGCCACATATTTGTAACAGCCGTTGGACAATCTTATCATCATAGAAACACAGATTCCTTTGGATGATCAGATTCGATGCTGTTGGTTTTTCATATTAGCCAGTCCTGCTTCTTGCTGCCTTTAAGATGGCCAAGCCATCACAAGAACCGGAGGATATATGATAAATTATGTCCGGTTGACCATTCAATATTTTTCCCTCTTTTGGTGGACTGTGGGGGACAGGAGAAAATGCCTTGGGTTTGCTTCCGCTCTTGAGTAAGAAGTCCACACAATTTTCTACACTTCAGTCTTAACCGTTACATTGTCTTCATTTGGTTGACAGTTCCCATTTTGCTGTAGTCTAATTTCTTCTGCCACATCTGCATTCTCTTCTGGTTTATTGGTTTCAGAATTCTGATTCTCTTTGCCCAAATCTTTATCCTACATTTTAAAAAAGAAAGAATAAAAAGAGTGCCTTCCAAGAAATGAATGCAAAAGCAAACACTGCATTGTCAAACTTGCAGACTTTATTCATGTGGAAGGGCCTAAATTCCTAATGGCACTAGATCCTGTCCAACCCTGGAAGCTAAGCAGGGTCAGCCATGATTAGGACTTGGATGGGAGACTACCAAAAATGCTAGTTGCTTTAGGAACTAGCAAAACCACCTCTAAGTACGATGACATTCATTGCCATAAATTGATAGTAAAATAATAATAATAATAATAATAATAATAATATGCACAATAAGATTAGTACACAGCGAACAAGATCACTATCCTACACACTTGGACACTTCCCAAGTATCTAGAACTGTGTGATGTCTCAGAGGATAATGCGTGCCGATCCAATTAGGGTGGCCTTTTGTAGCTGATGGTAATTTTGTCAGCGCCAATTGTTTTTAAGTGCAGACCAAGGCCTTTAGGCACTATACCCAGTGTGCCAATCACCACTGGGACCATCTTTACTGGCTAGTGCCAGTTGTTGTTGTTGTTGTTGTTGTTGCTGCTGCTGTTATTATTATCCTGTCTCTACTCATGGAAACTGCTGTACTTACGGTGAAATATGACCATCAAATATGACCATTTTCCTTCACACATGCAAATCTGCCCTTGACAGCAGTTCAAAGTAGTAAAACCAGATAAAATACTACTGCTCCCTACAAATATTTCAAGTATTGAAGCAGCAGCAGATATGCAAGTCTCAACCATAATAGTAAATGGCATGGATCAGCACAACTGCTTTTGCCAGTTACTTGAGATATCCACTTAAAAGATCCCATCATATTCAGTGGGGAAAGAACAAGATAAACAAAGATTGTTTGGGGTGGTCACAGGCATGCATGTACCTCTGATTTTATCCACAGTTGACAGTGGAAAATATTTTCCACAAGTAATTATACGCCTTGGGGTTGAGAATGCTTCCCATCCTGCTCTTCAAAAGGATTAAAACATTTCAGCATCTCTTGACAAGTCAACAGTTGAGCCATCTCCCTTGGTTGCAATGTGTTTACTCTAGTGGGAACTAGCCACTGAATTTAGGCTGATGCCCCACCAGATAATGCATGCAATCTCTAGAGCTCCTGATTTGATGAAATAATAAGAATAATAAGACTTTTCTGTCATTTACTCTTTACAAGATATACATAGTCTTCTGAGAACTAGAACATGGTGTTCCTAAAGAGCCAACCATATGCATGGGTTGTGTGACCCCTTTCGGCCTAAGAAATTTCTATGTGACCTCAGGCATACTGGAATATAAAATATGCATAAAAATCAAACATTTGATGATCACAAATCAGCATTTGCAAGGGTTGCTAAACAGGCTGATTATCATGTTTATAAACTACTGCTGAAATATCTTCTGCAGAGCCCACTGTAAACACTGCACAACAGATTTTGTGTGAACATCTAACTCTTGTTTGCTTGATGACTATCATTTCAGTTTCAGAAATACTTCCCTTCAAAATTTGATTCTAAAAAACTACGTTGCATTCATAAGCCATACTCAACTGAGATAAAAAATACCAGCCATCTGCCATTGAAAGTTGAAGAATCTGCCTCGTTATCAAGCCACACAAAATAGTGATCAGCTCTGAAATATGTTGATGTTCTATATTCTACATTATCAAATATTCCACCAAGATTTAATTCTTAGTGTAAAAATAAGCACATCCATCTCATTAGTATGCAAATTTGCTTTAATTTTTAATAAATGGTAAAATTACATGAATACCAAATGATTGCTTAAAAATAAAATCCTTTCTGATTTTTTGTCAGTAAATGTTTGATTTTTATATTTTTTTAAATATACCTGGGATCACTGAAAAATTTATCAGGTGGATAGAAGTCATGCATGTTCTTTGGGATCTTTTAGATATCTCAGCAGATGATGTACTCAGCAGATGATGTAGTCTGGTTATGGGGACATGGCCACATTTTCCAATCTCCACAAACATCTCCTTCCAGCCCGGATTGTCCATGAGGGCGCAGTAGCTTTGTAATAAATTTTGTAGTAGCTTTGTAATAAATTTTTGGGGCAGTGGGGGAGTTGGTTGATGTAGACCAGTGGTTCTCAACTCATGGGCTGCGGTCCATGGGCTGGCCGCAAGACCTAAAATAAGGTCAGTGAGCGAGCAGATGGCAACGACTGGATGACATATGTTCTGTATCAGAAACTAGAGCTGATGTGGTCTATCCAATGCAATTTTCTGAATTAGTACTCCAAATAACCAAACTAAATCTAAAGTTGACCAAAATGGATTTGTAACCCTTTTAGTACTAATGTTGGAGAGTGGTCTCTGGTCAAAGTGGTCACTGGTCAAAACAAGGCTGGGAACCACTGATATAGACAGAGGAAGGGAATACTAACTCCATACTGACTTTAAAAATATACACAGGTGTAAAGTTGTCTCGAGTCTGCATATGCTGTAACAGAATGTCAGCTACTGCTATTTCCAGCTTCCTTGATTATATGGAATTCCTTCCTATGGAAGGTTTGGTTGGCCTCTTCTCTCTCTCTTTTCTTCTGCTGGCTGTCAAAGGCCTTTTTTATTAAGGCAGAGAGTTGGCTTCAAATTTATGTGTCAGGCAGGACTCTGAATAGGGTTAAGCTATGCTTTAATTGTGGTTTATGCTGCAAGTCGCTTCTGGTCGCTAGAGACCAATCTCCTTGTTGTCCTATCCTTACAAAGTTCTGGAGAGACTTATTTTGCATAGAATTATGGAAAAAAGTGGAACAGAGTGTGCTCCGGCACCACGAGATGCAGAGCCAACCTTGAGAAATGGGGTCACAAAGTGGAGTCCACAACATACGAGTGTGGAGAAGAGCAAACCACAGAACACCTATTACAATGCAGTCTGAGCACTGCCACCTGCACAATGGAGGGCCTTCTTATAGCAAAACCAGAGGCACTCCAAGTGGCCAGCTACTGGTTAAGGGACATTTAGTAAAATGCCAAGTCTTTAAACTGTGTTTTTAAAATACATTACAACTGTACCCTGGTTTGCTTCTGATACAATAAATAAATTGTGTCTTATATTGTTTGAACTTTGCATTTTAACTATACTTATGTAATTGTTTTCAAGTTTTAATTTGGCTGTACCTGGTTTTTAACTGCTTGCAAGTTACCCTGGATCCTGTAGGAGAAATATGTAATAAGAAATATGTAAATAAAGCAAAAAACAAATACAACAGTGTCTTACCTTCAAAGTTGTGGTTTTATCTGATTTCTCTTTAACCTCTTTGTCTTTACTACTCTTTTTCTTTGATGTAGACCTTTCTTTTTCTTTTCTATCATTACTCAAGTCTCTTTCTTTCTCTGTCTTTTTGTCTTTCTTGCTTCTGTTTTGAGAGAAACATTATATTTAGAATTATTATGATACTATGAAATGCTGGAATTTTTACACAGATGTCACTGAAGCTAGATCTACATTGCCATATAATGCAGTTTCAGGATTCAGATTAACTGCATTGAACTGCATTATATGGCAGTGCAGATCAAACCTGAGTTATTTTTAGAATAAAAGTGGGTAGAAGGATAAACTGGCAAAAACCAATGTTTTGCCCACTTCCACCAGTGAGAGCAGACCTCTACTAAATTCAAGTATAGGTCCATCTCAATGACAACTTACAGGTTTCTTGTACGTGTTGTAAGATAATATGTTTAAGTGGTCAGATAAGTGGTCAGAGAAAGCTCATGGTATTCTCTTAGAAGTATAAATGGGATTTATTGCAATTTCTTCAACATAAGGTAAAGGCAAAGGTTTTCCCCTGACATAAGTCCAGTTGTGTCTGAAACTGGGGTGTTGGTGCTCATCTCCATTTCTAAGCCGAAGAGCCAGCATTAGACACTTCCAAGGTCTTGTGGCCGGCATGACTGCATGGAGCGCCGTTACCTTCCCACTGGAGCAGTATCTATTGATGACTCACATTTGCATATGTTCGAACTGCTAAGTTGGCAGAAGCTGGGGCTAATAGTGGGAGCTCACCCCGCTCCCTGGATTTGAACTGGTGACTTTTCAGCCAGCAAGTTCAGCAGCTCAGCACCTTAACCCACTTGACTTAAAATAATTTACAACTTGACAAGGAATGTGAAAAGCATACTCCCACTTCTGCTTGGGACAAAAAAAAAAAAATGGGTGGAGGTGTGTTTAAAATGTGTGGCCACACCTCAAATTGAAAAAAACAACAACATTCCACCATGTCTTTGAACTACAATAAAACCCAAAAGTATGCCAAACAGCACAATAGAAAATCAGAAGGCCCGTTCAAGCAACCCATCACTCCAAGATTCTCAACCATTTCAGTAGAAGTGGTCAATTAATGTGAGGTATGCACTGGGAAAGTTGTTGCATGGTTAATTCTTTATACTTACCTCCTTGGAGATGGAGACCGAGAAGATTTCCTTTTTGTGATTTTGGAAGATCTGGGAGACTTTGAGGGACTTCGGCTCTTCCTCTTCCGTCTATCTCTGCAAAAAGTCATACAAAGATTAGCTCATCTGGTAGCAATTGCAGTTTGAGAAATTGCTTCTGTGTGGAGGACTCCTGCCCAGTGGTCAACATTCTAGTAAATTAGCTAGCCCTTGTCCAAGTTATTCCATTAGATTTTCTGTCTCATTTTTCAATTTCACTCTCCCTCATGTTAGTTAACATCTACAGAAAATGATTGGGGAAAGCAGCTGCAGCACAAGTAAGTGAAAGGCACACAGCATTACTGCTATTTTCCTTCTACTAAACCGAGCAGACTGAACTTGTGCCTGGAGGTGGTTTTGAGATAAATGAGGGTAAGAAAGCTAAAGGTTGCTCTAGGCAAGATGGGAATATTTATTTATTTTTATTTATTTATTTACTTCTTTTGTATACCGCAAATATCAGCCTAAAAAGGCGACTCGAAGCGGTTTACAATAAAATGTGCAACACTGAACAATCTATATAACAAACATACACAAACAATACACATAAAAATCATCACGCCTCATTAGAATCAGATCTCGATCTCACAGTCGTATTACCATTCCTTGTTCAATGTGCCGTCATTCCTGAGTCAGTTGTTATTGCATATTTATCCGAACGCCTGTTCGAAGAGCCACGTCTTAACCCTCCTCCTAAACGCCAATAGCGAAGGGGCCTGCCTGATGTCCGCTGGTAGGGCATTCCATAGCCGGGGGGCCACCACTGAGAAGGCCCTGTCCCTCGTTCCCGCCAGCCGCACCTGTGACGCTGGCGGGACCGAGAGCAGGGCCTCCCCAGACAATCTTAACAACCTCGCCGGTTCATAGGTGGAGATGCGTTCGGAGAGGTAAGTGGGGCCGGAACCGTGTAGGGCTTTATAGGCTAAAGCCAGCACCTTGAATTGTGCCCGGTAGCAAATTGGCAGCCAGTGGAGCTGGCTCAACAGAGGAGTGGTGTGCTCCCTGAGTGCCGCTCCCGTTAGCAACCTGGCTGCCGAACGCTGGACCATCTGAAGCTTCCGGGCAGTCTTCACGGGCAACCCCACGTAGAGCGCGTTGCAGTAATCTATACGGGATGTGACAAGAGCGTGGACTACCGTGGCCAAGTCCGACTTCCCAAGATACGGGCGCAACTGGCGCACGAGCCGAAGCTGTGCAAATGCTCCTCTGGACACCGCTGAAACTTGGGGTTCCAAGCTTAGCGAAGAATCCAGAGTCACACCCAAGCTGTGTTTAGGCAGGGGTAGGGAACCTTTGGCCCTCCAGCTGTGGTGGACTTCAACTCCCACAATTCCTTGAGGCTGGGCATTGGGCCAAGGTAAGCCTTTGGGGCGAATGCCGAGCCTCAAGGAATTGTGGGAGTTGAAGTCCACCACAGCTGGAGGGCCAAAGGTTCCCTACCCCTGCTTTAGGGGGAGTGCGACCCCGTCTAGCACAGGCTGTAACCCTATACCCTGTTCGGCCTTCCGACTGACCAGGAGTACCTCTGTCTTGTCTGGATTGAGTTTCAATTTGTTCGCCCTCATCCAGTCCGACACAGCGGCCAAGCACCGGTTCAGGACAGGACAGCCTCCTTAGTAGTAGGTGGAAAGGAGTGACAGAGTTGGACGTCATCTGCGTACAGATAACACCGCACCCCGAAACTCCGGATGATCTCTCCCAACGGCTTCATGTAGATGTTAAACAACATGGGGGACAGTATTGAACCCTGCGGGACCCCACAAGTCAATGGTTGTGAGGACGAGCAGTTGTCCCCCAGTAACACCTTCTGGGTACGATCCTCTAGGAAGGACCGGAGCCACTGCAAAGCAGCGCCCCCCAGGCCCATTCCCACGAGGCGCCCCAGAAGGATACCGTGGTCGACGGTATCGAAGGCCGCTGAGAGGTCCAGCAGAACCAACAGGGACACACTCCCCCTGTCAAGCTCACGGCACAGATCATCGACTAAGGCGACCAAGGCTGTCTCGGTACCATGTCCCGGCCTAAAGCCAGACTGCGCCGAATCCAGATCAGTGTCTACCAAGAATTCTTGGAGTTGTGAGGCCACCACACGTTCCAGGACTTTGCCCAAAAAGGGGAGATTGGAAACAGGCCGATAGTTGACGAATTGAGTGGGGTCCAGTGATGGTTTTTTCAACAGCGGTTTTATAAATACTTAGGAATACTTAGGATACCTCGTCTGGCATGGGAAGGGGTTGCTCATTTCACTGTTTCAGTTGATACACCAGTTGTCATTCCCTCAAGGGAAAGTGGACCTAGCCTCATTGACATGTGGCTTGATCCCATTGGGAATTAAATAGGTATAGGAATACACATATCACAAGCCACAGGCAAAGGGAGAAGCAAGTCTTCCTGTCGAGCAGGGATGGTGCTAAAGCCACTACTGTATGGAAACTGCATTTTAGAAATCATGCTTGGCTCTATATATTATTTTTAATGGCTTTTAAAATCTTTCAATGAAAAGGTGTTGTGGTATTTGCTGCTGCTAGAGGTTCTAAATTGTTTTTATTTAAAATTTAAAATATTCTAGTAAAGTGATAGTGAATGATACTAGTTCAGATAGCAAGATCCTTGCTGCAATTTTAAAAAAAATCCACTCACTTATAATGCATTAACTAATTATAATAAATTATAATAAAGCTGAAGGCTAGAATACAGTCTGAGACAGCATCACAACTGTTATATATTGGAGTATAGAAATTGGAGTAAAATATTAGAATCATAGAGTTGGAAGAGACCTCATGGCCATCTAGTCCAACCCCTGCCAAGAAGCAGGAAAATAGCATTCAAAGCACCTCTGACAGATGGGTCATCCAGCCTCTATTTAAAAGCCTCTTATGAATGGCTAAGTGGTGGTAAGCACTACTAAGTGCAATGACAGACTTCCATGTCGGTAATTAAAATATTATTTTGGCTGGGACTTTTACAGATGGCTATGAACTCTTTTAACAAATTGCATGTAATTTGTTGCCTTTATAAACAGAGTGGCCTTCTTATGAGTCGTGATATTTCTCCCTTTCTTTTATTCAATTTTTCCACTTTAATTTTCAGATTTATCTATCAAAGCTTTAAAATGTAAATAAAGTTAAATAATAAACTTGAGTATACAGCATATGGAGCTTTTCAAGGGTATCCAAGTTTCAAAAGTGTTGGGGATTTCCAACACTGACATAGACACATGGAAACTATGAAAATGAACCCACCATTTCACTCTTAAAATGAAAGGCTTGTTCAACCATCAGCTATTGACTTAAACCAATAATACAGGATCTCTAATGGGTCACTCCGGGAGTCATCCAATGTCTCAGAATGGTGCAAGATTCACTTAGGGCAGAAGGAAGCATTTGTTCACACAAACTACAGAAATGCAGATGACTGTTAAAATGACTCAGAACATTTATGGAAAATTGTCTGCCGAGACTGGCTCAATCCCTCTGTCGCACCTCATTCAGATGGGACAGAGTTGGTGTCATTCAAATACTGGTGTTACAATGGCCAACATGGCTGTTGTTTCAAATGTATATTAAAGAGACAAGATGGAACCCTCTGGCACTGCTTGGCTTAAATGCCATGGGAACAAGTGGGCATTTGCCTGAATGCTGAAAATAGCAAAACCACGGTGTCTTCATGGCCTAAACTCTCACAGATTAACTATGAGAAAATGTGACTGAAAGAATCAAACCTTGCAAAGCGACCACATTCAATAAAAGTATTATATACTGCTCCAAATAAGTGGAATGTGTCACTCAGCTTCTATAAGAAAGAGCAGACAATCTATGAAACTTAACAAAACTGGACAAGAATCAAACCTGCTGGAACTACGCGATCTTCTTGAAGAACTGTAACTTCTAGGTGGTGTCCTGGATCTTTTCTCCTTTTTCCTTTTTTCTTCTCTCTCCCTTTCTTTCTCTCGGTCCCTTTCCTTATCCTTGTCTTTTGCCTTCTCTACTTCCTTGTCCTTCGTTCTTTCTTTTTCACTGGTCTTCTCTCTTTCTTTTTCACTGGTCTTCTCTCTTTCTTTTTCACTAGTCTTCTCTCTTTCTTTTTCACTGGTCTTCTCTCTTTCTGTTTCTCTGGTTTTCTCTCTTTCTTTTTCTCTCTCTTGGTCTTTTTCCCCATCTTCTTTCTCTTTTGCCTGTTCGTTGTCATCTTTCTCCTTGTCTCCCTCCTTTTCTGTTTCTCTCTCTTTAAGCTTTTCGCCTTCCTTGTCTAAATCCTCTGTCTTGCCTTTTTCTTCCTTCTCTCTCTCCTTCTCCTCTTTGTCCTTTCCTTTTCCTTTGTCCTTCTCTTTATCTTTTTCCTTTTCTCTACCTCTATCTCTTTCTCTATCCTTCTCTTTATCTTTCACTCTCTCTTTGTCTCTATCTTTGGTCCTCTCTTTCTCTCTCTCCCTTTCTCTGCCCCTGTCTTTCTCCCTCTCTCTGCCCCTGTCTTTGTCCCGATCCTTCTCTTTTTCCTTATCTCTGTCTTTCTCTCTAATCTTCTCTTTTTCTCTGATCCTCTCTTTGCTCTCCTTCCTCTTCTCCCTGTGAAAAGTAAATGTCTATTAATTTAACTCATCCAGTATTCATGGCAATATAGCTGAGCATCCAGTTCAAATAATGAGGTTGCAACTATAAAGCATGTCTCTTCAAAGGGGAAATGCAACAAATTAAGGCAAAAATATATCACAAAACGGCATCTGTTAGAGGTACTAAATCTTACAAAGGAACGCTATTATTGTGGTGAAATCCATTTGTTACTCTGAAGGAGTAGAAAAGGCATCTGGGTTGCAAGAGAACACCACTTTGTAGCCCCACACCGAGTATAAACAGAGTTTTGTGTGAAGCTTTTCATACCTGATAATGGCTCTGAAAAATACAAACTGAAACAAAATCTCACCGAGAAGGAGAACGGCTTCTTGATCTCCGCCGTTCTTTTGATTTTGAACGATTTTTCAGTGGACTTCTGGATCTGCGCCTGTCCTTCTGACTAGAGCGGGATCTGTCCCGAGATCTACTTCTGTAATGGGAAAAGATAAATACTACAGATTGTATTTGTTCACCAGGTCAACTTCTGTATCAAATCAAATCTTTCTTTTTTAAGGTCAGAGACCAGTATATACTTCTATATCATCTTTTATATATCTTTTATACCCACCCTCAGTTGTCTAAATTACCTTTGAAACATATTTATTTTAAAGCCCATAGTATATTTACTTTAAAGCCCAAATTGCTGGGGACCTGACTCTTAAGAGGTCACTTGTAACAACTCGCTGAGATGTTAAAATCTTCAGGAGACTCCTTGAGAACACAATCACCTGCTGAGACCTGCTTCACACATATAGGAGTGTTCTCATCTGTTGCTCTGAGACTGTACATTGTCCTCCATTCAGAATTACAACTTGCTCTCACATTGCAACTTGCTTTTTGGAAGAGTTAAAACTTTCAAATTGAAGTTTATTGATTCTTCTGACAATTTTAACTATTTTCCTTGTTTTTAACAGTCCCCTCAAATGTTTTTTTTTAATATCTAAGAAAATTAATACACACCACTAAAAAAACAAATTAACTAATTTGCGCCTCCTTATTCTGTTGCTGCTCATTTTATAATTGTAGAGACTGGCATATGACTGTAATAAAGGTGTCTGAGTATATTTTTTTGGGTCAAGCAGGATAAATATTAAATAAAATAGTTGAGAAAAGCAACAAAGTTGATAACCTAAAATATGGCTTTAAATGGTTCAAAATCACATCATGACATACACAGGAATCCCAGACTACCTCAAGCCATTATTACTAATAATGTGTGATACAAATTTAAAACTCCCCGACCCATTGTTTTGAAGAACTCCTGAGAATTGCCATTCAACAATGGTAGTTAGTTGTTTAGCAATGAGAGGAATGGCAGCCTCTCAGGAGTACTTCAATTACGTATTCCTAAATGGCAGCATGTTGCTGTTATAGCTGCTTCTAACAGGATACATTTTGAACAGAGCAATATTCAATTGTGTATCCATAAAAGCCAATTTTTATGTCTAGTTATTATAAAGAAGTAATATTAACTTAGATATTTCAAGCTACCACTCATAATGGCATAATAATATGATCATATTGTTTCTGCACAAGGTAGAATTTGTAAATGAAAAACAACCAATTATTGGCTTGAGAACATGTTTTGTTTCAGAATGACAATTGAAAATCTCAGTTTGCAAAAGACTGTCCCTTTTCTGGATAAAATGAGAATTCCTTCTCCAAGAAATCGCCAGGAAGACAGTTCACTCCTCAAAATAGCCTAAAGAATTATGCACACAGTTTAACATGTAAAATTACCCATTTTAAAAATTAGCACTGAGTATTCTGAAACTTCTGACTGTGGCCATTTCATGACCCTAGGCTTAGAAAATGCCCTGTGCACTACTACAGCTGACTATTCTTAGTTTAAGTTTAGCTGTTCAACAGTGGAACTCTCTGCATCGGAGTGTGGTGGAAGCCCCTTCCTTAGAAGCTTTTAAACAGAGGCTGTATGGCCATCTGTCGGGGCTACTTTGATTGTGCTTTTCCTGAATGGCGGGAGGTTGGACTAGATGGACCATGTGGTCTCTTCCAACTTTATGATTCTATAATTCAAAGTTGTACCAAAGGGAAACAGGAGGAAATGTGCCTAGTGAATCAACATACAGTTTGTTCACAATATGACCCAAATGTCTGAAATTCTACCTTATCACTGCATGTAAACGCAGATACCGCATAAGGAATTCAACTCTGATATATTGTGAGGCTCAAAATAAGTGGTAAAAGCTTGTCTCATTTTAAAATTTAGACAGATAAAGTTCAATATTATCTCTAATGAAATGAGAGGTTGTGTGAATATTCATTCTTAGGTAGGGAGGAGGAGCAACCCAAGCCTGGCAAGCTGGTGCATGGGAACACCTCCGACTATGCACTGCTCCCACTCCTTATGAAGAAAATAGGGCCTTTTGTTCTTTGGGATCAGATGCCAAACATTCTTTAGCATCACAGCATAATCTATCAAAATCTAAACCCTGTGGCATGTGCAAAAGAGTATCTTGTGATGGGCTTTTGTAGAATGTGCATGCTGCATTTAATGCAAAAGCATTGTAACAGTGAGACTTGTCCTTTGCTCTAACAAGCGGGATGAACCCAGCTGCTCTTCGTGCCATCCTGAGAAAGAAAGGGGTTTTGCCATTGGCAGCATACTCACAATGATTCCAACAAAAACAAAGTGGGAAAAGGAAATAATATCTGCACCTCTCTGTGGAGAAAAGGGGTGACTGCAGAAAAGTGAGTTTGCCTTCATAAATTATGCTCTTGGAGGAAATCAAACTAAACGTTATTACTTGAAGATACACAAGGGGAAACCACCCCCCACCCCCCCATGAGATTTTTGCAAGAGGCAGCAGCTGTGAAGTACAGCAGAAACTTTAAGAAAAAATTCAAGGGAACGAAAACACAGAAAGACAGAGGGCTTGTTGAATGCAGACACTTCCTGTGCACTTATAGACCCAGGCAAGATTCAGCGGGCTTTATTTTATTTATTTTTTTATATTCCCACAAACCATCATTTCATCTAATCATGGTAAGAAATGAGAAATCCAGGAGGAAAAGCAATGTCATTTGTCAATGGTATCAAAATATTTTAGCCACCCTTCCATGACAAATGTGACTGACAAGAAAAAACAGCTATTGTTTTCAGAGAAGTTTTTAATGCTAGGATTTTACCTGCGTTTTGAGTGTGATCTTTTCCTTCGAGATTTTGAACTAGATCTGGATTCTGAACGTGAATGCGAACGCGACCGACCGCCTTTCCTTTCACTGCTCTTTCCAGACTCTGAGAGAAAAAACGACTTTGCAGTGTAAGCTCAGAATAGTTAAAGATCCCAGCTAACAATCTGGCACAAGTGGAATATACCACATATATTGCAAAGGGCCTACTCTCTGCACATCTTCCTTCTTTGCAAAAATCCTTCAGAAACATCCAAGAAAGTCATTGCATATATTCGTTGAGTGCAGCCATCCTGCAGCAGTACACATAAACCAGATAATTATAAACAGCTAGCTAAATAAGGAATGGAATTTAGGTTGCTGCCACAATGCACAAAAACATGTTTGGTAAAACTGACTACAGAGAGAAAATATACAAGTTTCAAGATAGCAAGTTCAAAAGCTTTGCAGAAACTACCTGCTTTACACTGCATTTTATGTCAAAGCCCTAAAGGAGAGAAGTACTTCTGCTTGCAACTCTAGAAAGTTATGTAGTGGACATGGCTTATAAGAGGAGCAACACTTCCTAAATAAGTAGAACCAAGAAAATGATCTATCTGCATAAATGTATTTTACATATTTAGTAATGCATTTATATTTAATTAGTATGTGAAGCAGTATATGACAGGTGGGCAAAGTGCAGCTTGCAATCTGCGTACAATCCTACAGGAAAATGTTGTGGGTTCAGTGCACAAAGGAGAAAATATTTCAAAATAATTCCTGGAGATGAAGAGGGCATTTCTATCATATTTGGAGATTCCCTGGTTGCCCAGTGTAAAGAAAAAATGCACATTTTTCAAAAACACATTTGCCCCCAAATGCAGTCTAGGGTGCAGGGTGGGTTTGTTTCTACCACTTTTCCCTAAGTGATGTACAGGAGAGGCCTTTCGTAAATCAGAAAGTGAATCAGGAAGTAAAAACAGGCCACTCCTGAGCCTAAAACAGCCCAGAAAAGCTGCAAAACATAGTGAGAATGCCTTCATGATCCTTAGGAGGCATTTGGAGACAACTAGTGACAAAGCTACAGTGTTTTTGTTTTGTTTTGTTTTGAGATGCAGCTGCAGTGTGTGCAGCTCTACACAAAGTCTCCAATGTGGTCTTCCTTGCCTACCAGTGTTGCACATCCTTGCAGTAGGGGATTTCATTTTTCCTTTTTTCATTACTTTCTAAGTCAAAAGACTGCTATCTATGGACTGATTTTGGCATTAACTATTTCCAAGTTCAGATTAATTATCGTCCCTTTGTATATCTAAAGAAAGAAATTCTGCTAGATTTTCACTTTTGAAGTAAAAAACATTTACCTTTTAAAGTTCCCATTTATTTTAAAAATTATCACACCTCTGAGAGGAATGGGAACAGAGATCTGATTCAATGCCATGTGATCAGTTTAGTACATGTTTAATGGTTATTAACATAGTCATTTACCATGGTTTAATAGCTCTTTATGCTTTGACCAGAGAATGCAGTGAAATGAGGCATCTGATCAGGATCATCTTGACTGTAATATATTTAAAACTCTCAGTTACTAAACCAGTTAGATGACATCAAAACTGATGGGTTACAAATGATTTTTCTATGGGCTGGTTCAGCATTGCTTCTACCTATTTCTTTTTTTAAAAAACGATCTTCTAATTACACACAAGGATTCACAGTAATTGATATTTTTTCTTACAGTGCAAGTAACATCATACCTGGCTCAATAGCAGCTGATATAAAAGACTGGGCTTCCCGCACTCTTTTCATTACTTCTTCTAACTCCTTAGCAGCTGCTTGTGGTGTCATTTCAGGAGGCTTCACTATTGCATTATTGGAGTGATTGATTCTAAATTAAACAAGTAGATTTGATTTAGTTTGTACGTATGCATACACATAGGATCAAACTCAGTCAATAGTCCCAACAAGAGTAAATCCATTTCATTAGTAAGAACTTGCCAAGTAAACAATTAAGTAAGTACCATCAGCAGAGTTCTATTCTACATGCTTCATATTCCAATGCTAGCCTGAATCTTATTATCTGCCCACCAGTTGAATCAATGGGATTTATCTACATGCTGACTCACAATTCAGCAACTGTTTCTATGGGTCCACTCCAGCTGGGACTAACCAAGTACAGTTATGACCACTCTATCTATTACTTCACAGTGCAATCAAGAACAGAACTGGGGGTCAACAAAAGTGTTTATAATATTAGTACAAAGCAAACATGGATGGCACCTCCCCCTCCAAATCTTTCTGCAGGTCAAGAATATCCACCTTTACACTAACTTTCCATGGTGTGCTCCAATAAGGTAAGAGGGTATATAATGACAGCAAGATTGCTGTTGCTAAGGAATCAGACTAAATGTACCAAACAGCTATTGCCCAGCAAAATAAGTTGAGGGGACATATTGGTGGAAGATTTCTAAGAGACAATGGTAGTGGTGCTTTAGCTAACGCTTCTTAGTACTCTGCAACAGGAAGCACTTCAGAATATATTTTATTCTGAAGATCCTATGAGAAGATTATCCAAAATGAAGCAAAAGATAAATCTTGTAAGAAACTCAACTAGATATTGCTGAGAACCAAAGGACAAGTGCAACTCGACTCAATCTTAAAGCGTTTTCAGCTGCTGACATGCTCAGATGTGAAAGGGAAGTCAGAAGCTACACAATATAAAAACTAGGAGAATGAGAAACATGAAACAGAGGAAAATAAGATATTGTAAAACAAGAAATGGAACATGTAAATACAGCACTAAGATGAGCAGGTTAAAGTGGACAAGAATTAAGCATTTTCCATTGATAGTAATGATCTAAGAAGATATAGCATGGTACTAATAGTGAGATGATATGTAGCAAAAGCAGTCAGGGGAATATAATGTGAAGTCTGGATATCAGCAAGACTTCATGCAAAACATATTAATATATCAATTTATTTGAGTTGTATTCTGTCTTTCTCCCAAACGTGACTGAAAATCGTTCAATAACCAGAATCCAAATTTATATTCCCACCAGAAGCTGAGGAGGAAGAAATGAAAAATCTATATGGACATCTAAGAAGAAGTTGATCATATATCATAACAGGGCTTAACAATACTGATTGATAACTAGGGCACAAATAAATTTATAAACAATAGATAGTGTTAAATATACCAAGGAGTAGGTTCTTGTGGGTTTTTTCGGGCTATAGAGCCATGTTCTAGAGTCATTTCTCCTGACGTTTCGCCTGCATCTATGGCAAGCATCCTCTCCTGCATCTATGACGTTTCACCTGCATCTATGGCAAGCATCCTCACCTGCATCTATGGCAAGAGGATGCTTGCCATAGATGAAGGCGAAACGTCAGGAGAAATGCCTCTAGAACATGGTCCTATAGCCCGAAAAAACCCACAAGAACCTAGATTCCAGCCATGAAAGCCTTCGACAATACATACCAAGGAATAGTTTGTTGAATCTACTGTTGCATTAGGAAGATATTTGCATCCGATACTAAAAATATCAATATCTTTTTACACAGAAAAGACAAAAGAGTGCTCTGTTTGCTCACATAATGGCCAAAATTAGTGAACACCATCTGAAAAATGATTTAACTTAAAAGGGGATTAATGTTTATAATGAAATACATGGGGCTTTTACCCATGATAGTCCATCCACTGGAACAGGAAACAAGAAGTCATGATTACTTGATATTCATTCTCAGTTTAAAATGTGTGATTTGACATGGTTTGAAAGACAGTGGAGGTGGTGGCCAAGAAATCACAAAAACTGGCTGAATATGGTACACGGGTCCTGGAGCTAGGACATTAAGTATCAGAATACCACTTCAGACATTGTGGCACATGCCTTTGCATCAACTAATGTATATCATTTGCTGCATTTTAGTCACTTTGTGAACAGTGGAGTTTTATTCTACTTTACAGGGGATAATGAAAACAGTGGAACGTGAGGGTGCTGTTTACTGCCTTTCTTCAGCCTGGCAATGCTTTTAAATCACTTACTTTTCTATCCCACTCCATTTTTTAAAATTTTGTACCTGGCAGGCACTGATCTATACTAAGCATAGAACACAGAATATTGTAGGTACACTACAAAGGAATAATTGTTACTATTGGGAACAAATAATGTCTACACAAATGGTGACTAGCATTTCGGGTACCTGAGTTAAATATCTTCCCTCTCACTTCTACCTCATCTATTTAACTGAAAGTTTATGCATGCTGAACAGGCCATGATGTAAAGTACATTCTTACTTTATCCAAAACCATCTGATGGGATAATGGCTGGGTAACATTAGCCAGTATTAATATTTAATATTTTTACCACAGTACTAGATAGATTACATTGCTGATCATGTTTTTGTGAAAGAATCAAGATTACAACTACAATAAGGAAAATTTTTCATAAATATTTAACATTGCATCATGCCTGCTTTTATCCATTTTACAGTCTAAGCAAGGATAGAGGAAGAACCACATGATATAATAATTTGAATATTGGACTCAAGATTCTGAGAGACTAGGGCTTGAATCCCTGCTGGACCATGAAAACTCGCTGTGTGGTCTTGGACAAGTCATGCTCACTCAGCCTCAGAGGAAGGCAAGAGCAATATCAGAAATCTTGAAGGGATAGAACAATAACAAAAATAACAATGGAGGCCATGCATCAGGTTCAAGCTAACAAGGAAAAAAATGCATACAAATAGCATTATGGAGGCACAATGTTTTTAAAAGCAGAAAATGACATCTATATATTGAATAATAGTTTCAAAATACAAATTGCACATGGCAAAATAACCAAAACACACACACACACACATAAAACAATGGGGTTATAATTACATTCAGTTATTTCTCAACAGATTTTGATTTCACAGTATTTGAGTAAGTTCTTACTTTAGAGGCCTGTCTCCAAATACAACTCCATTAAAGGCAAGGGCTCTAGGTACTGAATTTTGGTCAGCAAATTCCACAAAAGCGAAACGTGTTGGCTGAGTTTCATCACCCGCCATCCGCACAAACTTCACTTCCCCAACTTGCTTAAAGAACTCCAGTAACTGATCAGCTGTAGTAGTCTTAAAAGAGAAAGTAAGAGAGAAAAGAATAAATAAATTAGCTCAAGAGGACAGGGACACACACACACATATTCATGCAACTGTCCCCTACCTCTACTCATTGGCTACATTGAATTGTGAACATTCTACATTGTCTCTCAACCTCCCAGGTTTGTGCTCACAATAGTGTTACCTTTTGGTGCCAATTATGGGTGTGAAAACAAAATATGGCTCCCCATCTTCTGAGTCACAAACATTAAGAGCAGCACAGTTACACCTGTTGTAGTTCAACAATTTTACAACAATAAGGTGCACTGCTTTGGCCATCATGAGTGATAGGAAAAGACAGAATTTCAAGAGAGATCAGGCTTTTCTCCTCCAGCAGTCAAGACTGGGTAAATTACATCCATAGTGATCCATAAAAGATCTGAGTTTGCGGTCATAAGCCCACTGCAGTTTGGGAAAGAAAAATATCAACTGAACTAATAGGTATGCTCTTGTTTTTCCTGTTTTTAGTTTTAAGGAAGTGTTCTGGCATACCCCAATATAGTCTCCTATTCAGTGTGGAAGAGAACGACAGCTATGGAGGCAAAGATTTATCTTCCCATCTGGTGCTATTCCCACTTGTCTAAACACAGATACATAATTCTTTTAAAAAACCGAAATATACATTACTATAGCAATTTGCAAACATTTCATGCAAAGACAGGAAGTGCTATTGCTATGAGCAGGTAAACATGTTTCTAAATGTACCAAGAGTTAAGTTAACCAACAACTGCATCCTACATGTTGAAAACCTTGCCTGTCCCTGCTGTAATCCAATGGGTAGGGACTGGTATTGTTGCATTGGTGCTGTATATAGCACAATACTTTACAAGCTGGGAAGAAAACTATTTTTTTTTTCAGTTCCTGCAGTGTACACCCTTTGCACACAACAATCAGGGAAGTCAGTGAAACAAATGCTCATTCAGATTAGAGCTGTTAAACTACAGCACATGAAGCCACACTTTCCATTTGTGCAGTCCAATGTTGCAAAGACATTTACCTGGGAATTCAAATTTCCAACATACACAGTCCTTCTAATTTCATCAATCTTGGAAGGGTCCACATTGCCCATAATGGGTGGCTGGGGTATATCTCCAATGGCCGTAATATTATGATCCAAGGCTGCTGCTGGTATAGCTCCCAGTGAACTAAGAGGAATTCCAATCTGAAAATAGAGGATTATTTTTACAGCAACAGGCAAGGATTTTTGTCTTCCGACCCTGAGCTCCAAAGGAGAGACAGCAACTACGTTTACAGCCTCACTGGAAACAATCTTAACTGACTCATCAGGCCAGCAAGGCACTACTTTTCAGAGGAGAAAAGCAGTGGAGTTGATTATACTAACAACAACATGCAAAATACTTCAAAAACAAAGTATTATAACTTAACCAGGTTAATCCATTCAACTCAACAAAATGTAGCAGCTCCTGGAATCGCTGGAAGTTCTGAGTAAACCTGCTTGAACAGACTCTTATTTTCTGCTGTCCCATAATCACAGTCTACTTTTATTTAATATCTAAACTGACAAAGACTTGTGAAGAACACTCTATCTTCCGCACTACTGTTTTTCTCCCATTCTAAGACACACTTTTCCCCATATAAACATCTCCAAAGTGATGTGCATCCGAAGAATCGTGGGTATTTTATATAAATAATAAATAAGGCTTTTACTCTGATGGTGGTACTGAAATTAGTGTGTGTCTTAGAATGGATGGTGTCTTAAAACAGAATAAATATGGTATTCTATAGATTGTCTAATCAATTTATTGCATGCTATCCATATTGTAAGCTGCTCTGAGTCCCTTCGGGGAGACGGGGTGAGGTATAAATAAAGATTATTATTATCGCCCATGGATTTTGGATAATTTCAAATTAGGATGTGTTAAAGTTGTCGCTGTAATGGAAAATGTATCAAAATTATAACTGAAGAAATTACATTCCCAGATAAGTAGTAACAAGTTACAACTTATTTCATTATCAAATTCAGTGGCACTTACCGAACTCACAGGAGGCGTTGGTATAGGAAGCAGTCCCCCACCAGGAATCAGACTTGTCATTGTAGGAGCAGGAGCCAAGAGGGAAAGTGCTTTGGCTTCATCTGGAATTTTACCTGAAGAGCAAATATTTTTATTAGCAAGAATAAAACCACTTCCCAAGCGTTATTTTTCCATTTACCATTACCCTTCAACTTAAAAATAGTAAAGAAAACAAATCAATCTACGAGAGCCTTACAAAAAATAAAATAATTCAAGTTTCTCCTTTTCCCCTGCTCCACTAGGAACAACAAGTGAGCAAAACTAGCAAGCTCATTACCAGATTTTTACTTTTAAAAACTGAACAATGTAGACAATTATTTAACACTTTGAGCTATGGGTCACCTGTACTGGAAACTTAATGTTCATGAACCAAACGATATCAAGCATGGACGCTTTCGCAGGACGTTGTTTTCACGGTGATCGAAAGTTGTGTTACACATGACAACCGTTCGTGTTGGCTGCATCACTAATAGCACACAGAACATCAGATACAGAAAAGAAGAACATTTTTTAAAGTTTAATCCCCAGAAATGGCAAATAACCAAATCAGTCAAAAAGGAAAAAAGGAGGAAATAGGAGTGTGCTAACCAAAATTTGCCCTTGTCTTCTGTTCAACATGCTAAAAAAATGTTGCCATATGACTACCGATGGTCAGTCCGGTGCAACAAGGCAAGAAACCTAGAACCAAACTGATCTAGAGCATATGTACCTCGGCTGAAGTAACCCACTCCTTAACTTCAGGAGTGAGTGAGTGAGTGAATAACCTCAAGTTTTTGCCAAAATTATTTCTCAGTCACAAGAGCAATCTGCAGACCACAGTTATTACAATTAAATCTCTAAACCATGGTTAAATTAGACTTTTCAACCAAGAAGACATAGCTAAGGCAATTTCCAATCTGTCCAGTCTATTTATTAACAAGGTTAAAAGCATGTTTTGCCAGTCTTTCTCAAAACGTCATCCAGGTTCAAGGCTTAACGCAATACAATATGCTACAGTGTCAATGTATCTTTGAGATATTAGCCCAAAGATGTTTTAACACTATCCAAGCACACTGAACTTTATTAAAAGGAAGTCTTCCCTAAAGGCAATTAGGGTAACTTTACACCTCACATAAGAAAACCCAATAGTAAAATATTCAACAGATACACTGATCTGAAACAATTAGCTGAAAAACAAACAAAAAATAACAGAACTCTGTCTAGTGGTGACGTAAGCCTGAAGTAACAATTCTTAAAAATAACTGCAAGCGTTCTTGGACAATTTAGTCCTCACAAAGAATCTCACCACCTTATTTCATTGATAAAGAAAGCATGATGCTCTAGCTTAAAATGCTTGCTTAAACCTTCCACAAGAAAACCTACACACGTTCATAGTAATGCATTAACTTCTGCATTGTTACAAATAAAAATGAGGACACCTCAGACACTAGAAATTAACCTGAAGACCTGTACTGTATGTTTTCCAAGCTTCTGAGGTCAACCTGAGTTTCTCAAGCACCCAATGGCAAAAAAATAAATAAAAATAAAGCCATAGCAATATCAAAAGGGAAATGAAAATTGTGTTCCAATCTAGGAATTCAAATACCATTGATTTTGGGTGAGGAAGGTGGCAAATGCCATGGACCAGTATATGCTAGCTGGCCAATATTTCATGATTTTAGTAGTTAAAGCACATAAATGCTCGATTTTCTAATCAAATGAATACAATAAACTACTAAAATCAGTGAAAACCTTTCCAGATTCCAATAGTGAATGGACTGCAGTTTTGATTATTCCAAGTGCAATGCTATGCATGTTTACTCAGGAGGGTACTGAGTTTGATAAGACTAGCTTCAAGCATATACAGGACTGCAATCCTTTAAGGTATGCCCAAAGTATTGGTCTCGGGGTTTTAATCCAACAGGGGCTTCTGTCTGCAGAATAAAGACGATCGTTTTTGGAAATTCTCTGTCACGCCGACAGATTCCCGCAGCCATTAAACTTTGCTCCAGATGGCTGGGGGGAGTTTTGGAAGTTGGAACAGCAAGGAGAAGATTCACACAAAAAAGCCTCTTTCCTTTTTCGGATGGAAGCTTCCACTGGATCAAGACCTCAGTCACTGGGAAGGTGCCATCTGAATACAACCCAACAACTAAGCAGAAACATATAGAAGAACATACTTGTTTCCTGATCAAATGTTTACAATGTCTCACTTTTAGAATAAAAAAGTTTTAATTTTTGAAATGTCTCACTTTTAGAATAAAAAAGTTTTAATTTTTGAAAACCCAGCTTCAAAACTACACACAAAAAATCAGACAAACAGGACTTCAATGTTTGGATAAACAAAATTATTTACACAATATATACTGCCTTTAAAAACAAAACAAAAATAAGACCTATATATTTTGGTCCTGATTATAGTTATCTAGATTTTTCTTAGATTAATTTTAAAAACTGGGATACAATTTCACAATAAAACAAAAATAAAAATGTATTTCAGTAGTTACAATCCCCCCAAGACACTCTTTCCTATGTTAAGAACACCCAGCACTGACAATGACATCCTTATAAGCATGATATGAAATGCATACATGTACAAGCGTGCACTCACACACACAAACACCATTCGTTCAGAGCAAGACCATGTCATTTTAAACTGATAAATAACTATAATCACTGATCAATTTATGTAAATGATTTATGTCAAATTAATTTTATTGCTGGAGTCTTACCCCTCACATGAGGCCAGCTTTTTACCTCCCAAAATTTATGTGGTTTTAGAATAAATTTCTAGGCCATCGGAAAAATCAGTATCTTCAGAAAGGATTCTTGCTAGCAATACAATCCACTATCTGCTTGCATAAATTTACCATTATTTTCATAGTGCACAAAAAATACTTATTCAAGAAAGAGAGAGAGAGAAAGAGAGAGATGTGGTGAAAAAAAAGGATGACAATATAATTTGTGATCTGTCATCTCTGCTGCAGAGAAAAGTAACAAAAGATTGTTGGAATTTTTCTTGGCAAGTTTTCGCAGAAAATATTCAAACTTGACGAAAACACTTCTATGATGTGCCTCTGCTGTATTTAAGAGAACCATATGTCAAGATGGAAGGGAAAAATTGTGATGCTTGTCGTCTTCCCATAGAATGCTACAGTAAAGAGAAGACAGTATACAAAACAAAACAAACACTGGTCAATACTTTACAGATCATTTCACAATTATTTTGAGTGTTCTCCATCTTTTAAAGATTTGTTCCAGAAATTAATCTAAATAACAAATATAAATCATCTACCAATCTTGAAGCAACACTGGCCCCTTTCGCATATTATCCCAACCAACTGGGAATACTTTTTTCACAGAGCAATCCCACACAGTGTTAAAATTTATGTATATATGGTAGTGGCATACATAATGGAAATTGGCGTGTGAAGGGGGATACTGTCTCTTTAGGTACTGGCAACTGACTTGCTAAACTGCGTAACCTTACTTCATATGAAGAGTTAGAGAAGCTCCAGTAACATTCTTAGAGAATTTCAGGAAGAATAAACTCTCCCATGTATATTTCAAAAAAATAAAAGCCAAATATGTGTAATAATTGCACATGGAAACAAATGAGTTCTGCTACTTGTCTAACAATCCAATTCTAGCCAGGTTTACTGAGATAATTAATTTCACTGAGCTTTTGCTTTCAATGGTGAACCTTTGGGATTGCATGTAGTAGCTAACTACAAAAGGCTGCATCCAATTCTTAATCACAATTAGAGTAGATTCACTGGTTTATACATATTTGTAAGGTCACTACTTTATGTAGATATGATGACTGACACCTACTTCTAATGAAGTCCTACTCTATTTGGGATTAATGACTGGATTTAGCTCAGAGTTATATAAAAGCTGAATGTAGTACTTGGCTCTAACTAAAGAGATATTTAGCTAAGAGAATTCCACTAACAAAACAGTTTCACAGGATCAAGTTTAAAATGAATCATGAACTTTTATAACAGAACACCATTTTACAGAACTGAAGAACCAGTTCACAGGTAGAAATAAAAGAATTAAAAGCAAAAAAGGGACAAAAAGTTTTAAAAGAAGAGAAAAGAAAAGAAAGCAAAATAAAATAATAAAAACAGAGACAGGGCGTCCATCTTCTGCAGGCCAGACTCCGCTCTCATTTCCCCCATGAAGTTGTCACTTGGCGGCAGGTTTAGTGGCATGGCAAACAATGCCTAATTCAGGCAAGTGTAACAGGTCTGCCTTGGCCAGTCTAGTCATCTAATAATGCACAAATATCACACAGAGAAAACATATAAAACCAAATTAATAGTCAAAATCCATCTACTAGAACATGTGGACATAAAGTTTAGAATGAAGGTTAAAAGTGGCATCTCTGATACATTTTTCTTCTCCTTTCTCAAACCAGAACAAAATTGGAGATAAATTCAAGATACACATACAATTTAACAATGCAAGGATGCTTCAAAGTATCTGAAGTTGTAATATTGGTTAGTAACAGCTACAGCCTGCAGTGTGCATGTGTTATATACTGAACACCAATTTTAATGCTCAATTAATCATTTTCTGTGCAATGCAGAGTATTATTCTTGACAGATGAGGCAGGCTGGTGAAGCACTTCATTCCTTTCTCTTCATGTCTGTCTCTGTGCTTGTTATTGTACAGTAAATGCTTCAGCAATAGAAGCATTAAATCCAATCACCTGGATTGGCCAGTAGAGACTGAACAAAGGTGGCAATGGGAGATAGTGATCACATTATTCTGCTTTGGAGTATACATCACTTCCACATTTTCTAGCATGTGAGTAGAGATTACTGTTAAAGAAATTTCACAATCTTTTTTCTATTTGTGTTTTTGCATTTACACATATTACAATGTCTAATGTATAAGCATCTTTAGAACTGAAAACTGTAACCAAACATAGCATTCACTATCAGTACCATATATCAAAATAATTTCAGGGTTCAGGAATAAATTATATATTAAAAATGTATTTCAAAATATGAACAGCCTATGTATCACTTTAATGTATGTATATATGCTTCTCTTCTGTCAACTTGTCCTACTAGCATGCCATTTTAAACAAAGAGAAGATGATAGGGGAACACCACCTTAACTCCCCATGGCAGCCTGGTGACAAATCAGGGAGCAAGTCCAGGGAGGGGGACAGGGAGGACCCTTTTGTAATTTCCTTTGGTTTCTCTTGCTAACAACAATAATCCAACTGGAAGGAGACTTCTTGTATTTTCATATCAGAAACAGTACAGAAAGACAAACAAAAAACCACATGAAAAACGAAACCATTTCTTCACATGCTTTTGGGAGATAGAGGGAACTCCAGAAGAAGGTATGGAAGACTCAATAAGAAGGGCACCAGGTGATACCACACTGAGAAAAATCAGCAGCAGAACTGCAGTCTTTTTGATGGGCAAAATACAATTTTAAAAACTTTCTTAGGCCCAAATCATAATTCTTTAAATAAAGTGCATGATAATTATCAAATAAATTACGTAGTTTTCTAATACTTTCTTGGCACCAGATGTTGATAATGGTTTGCTAATACACTGCTATGAAACCAGGAAAATGCCAAGAATTTGATTTAAAAAAAAAAAAAAAGCTTATGTTATCTCTACTTTAACCGAACAAACCATTCTGAAAGCACTAGACAACTCCTGAATCACCAATGAAAGTTGGGAGAAATTAAAACCAAGAGAATGAATGAATGGATTAATAGCAGTTTCAGGCAGCAATGCGACACACAGCAATTAACTTCTTTTGATGTATCTGTTACAGGGATATTCACAAAACATCCAATTTCTTGAAATACATGCACATCTGCTTTGAAAAAGGAGTGTTGGCCAGAACATACAATCCCAAGAACAGAGAGATGGAGATGTGCACTTGTTCCACCACTTGTGCTCCAGGTTCTACAAATGTATTAAATTTTGTGCATTACTTGAATTTGCTTCATTCCATTCCTGTTCTTAAGTAAAGAGTTCACAGAAGCAGCAATACTTAAGCAAAAACTGTATTAAATTGTTAAAGAGTTTAGATAAGGTTAAGAGGTAAGAAACTCAACTACTGAATAATAGAACCTCCTATATAACTTTTCGGTTTTTCTCATTTATTTGAGTAAATAACACATCTCCACAGTGGGGAGAAAAGTACACCCAACTTAATTTTTTAAAAGATAAAAAATGGAGACAACTTTTCAAAATATTGGCAAGCATGTCATTGAAACCCCACAAATTAACACTTGGTCACTAAGGTGCTAAAAGACATCAAATATTCTGACAGAAGAATATGATAATATGGTATAGCAGCATATAGGCACCGCCTTTGACAAAGGAACTCCTTTTTCCCAAGTGAGAAAAAATGCTTGCCCAGCTCCCTCTTTTATTCTGGCCCTCTATCTAGCCGGAAGATGTTTTAGGTAGCGTTAGCATTGAGAAGACAATAAAAGAGGGCTGGACAGACTCTCGGTGTTAGGATGCAACAGTGTGTCTGCACTTATAAGTACAACTGT